ATGCCCTAGAATCATTATGACTCCCCGTTTGTTCCCAAAAAGGATAATAGGGCAAATATCGGAAATTTCCAAAACACCCCTTTTTTGACAAAATGGCAAAATGGCTCATCATTTTTGCCAAAAAGTGAAAATTTTCAATCCTCTCCGTTTTCTCTTTGTGATAGTCCCAACATGCCCTACAATCATTATGACTCCCTGTTTGTTCCCAAAAAGGATATTACGGCAAATATCGGAAATTTCCAAAACAGCCCCTTTTTTGACAAAATGGCAAGGGGTTAGCTCATTGTTTTTGCCAAAAAGTGAAAATTTTCAATCCTCTCCGTTTTCTCATTGTGATAGTCCCAACATGCCCTCCAATCATTATGACTCCCTGTTTGTTCCCAAAAAGGATATTAGGGCAAATATCGGAAATTTCCAAAACAGCCCCTTTTTTGAAAAAATGGCAAGGGGTTAGCTCATCCATTTTGCCAAAAAGTGAAAATTTTCAATCCTCTCCGTTTTCTCATTGTGATGGTCTCAAATTGCCCTAGAATCATTATGACTCCCTGTTTGTTCCCAAAAAGGATAATAGGGCAAATATCGAAAATTTTCAAAACAGCCCCTTTTTTGACAAAATGGCAAGGGGTTAGCTCATCATTTTTGCCAAAAAGTGAAAATTTTCAATCCTCTCCGTTTTCTCATTGTGATAGTCCCAACATGCCCTAGAATCATTATGACTCCCCGTTTGTTCCCAAAAAGGATATTAGGACAAATATCGGAAATTTCTAAAACAGCCCCTTTTTTGACAAAATGGCAAGGGGTTAGCTCATTGTTTTTGCCAAAAAGTGAAAATTTTCAATCCTCTCCGTTTTCTCATTGTGATAGTCCCAACATGCCCTACAATCATTATGACTCCCTGTTCCCAAAAAGGATATTACGGCAAATATAGGAAATTTCTAAAACGCCCCTTTTTTGAAAAAATGGCAAGGGGTTAGCTCATCGATTTTGCCAAAAAGTGAAAATTTTCAATCCTCTCCGTTTTCTCATTGTAATGGTCTCAACATGCCCTAGAATCATTATGACTCCCCGTTTGTTCCCAAAAAGGATAATAGGGCAAATATCGGAAATTTCCAAAACACCCCCTTTTTTGACAAAATGGCAAAATGGCTCATCATTTTTGCCAAAAAGTGAAAATTTTCAATCCTCTCCGTTTTCTCTTTGTGATAGTCCCAACATGCCCTACAATCATTATGACTCCCTGTTTGTTCCCAAAAAGGATATTACGGCAAATATCGGAAATTTCCAAAACAGCCCCTTTTTTGACAAGTTAGCTCATTGTTTTTGCCAAAAAGTGAAAATTTTCAATCCTCTCCGTTTTCTCATTGTGATAGTCCCAACATGCCCTACAATCATCATGACTCCCTGTTTGTTCCCAAAAAGGATATTACGGCAAATATAGGAAATTTCTAAAACGGCCCCTTTTTTGAAAAAATGGCAAGGGGTTAGCTCATCGATTTTGCCAAAAAGTGAAAATTTTCAATCCTCTCCGTTTTCTCATTGTAATGGTCTCAACATGCCCTAGAATCATTATGACTCCCCGTTTGTTCCCAAAAAGGATATTAGGGCAAATATCGGAAATTTCCAAAACAGCCCCTTTTTTTACAAAATGGCAAGGGGTTAGCTCATCGATTTTGCCAAAAAGTGAAAATTTTCAATCCTCTCCGTTTTCTCATTGTAATGGTCTCAACATGCCCTAGAATCATTATGACTCCCCGTTTGTTCCCAAAAAGGATAATAGGGCAAATATCGGAAATTTCCAAAACAGCCCCTTTTTTTACAAAATGGCAAGGGGTTAGCTCATCATTTTTGCCAAAAAGTGAAAATTTTCAATCCTCTCCGTTTTCTCTTTGTGATAGTCCCAACATGCCCTACAATCATCATGACTCCCTGTTTGTTCCCAAAAAGGATATTAGGGAAAATATCGGAAATTTCCAAAACAGCCCCTTTTTTGACAAAATGGCAAGGGGTTAGCTCATCGATTTTGCCAAAAAGTGAAAATTTTCAATCCTCTCCGTTTTCTCATTGTGATAGTCCCAACATGCCCTAGAATCATAATGACTCCCTGTTTGTTCCCAAAAAGGATATTAGGGCAAATATCGGAAATTTCCAAAACAGCCCCTTTTTTGAAAAAATGGCAAGGGGTTAGCTCATCATTTTTGCCAAAAAGTGAAAATTTTCAATCCTCTCCGTTTTCTCATTGTGATAGTCCCAACATGCCCTAGAATCATTATGACTCCCCGTTTGTTCCCAAAAAGGATATTAGGGCAAATATCGGAAATTTCCAAAACAGCCCCTTTTTTGAAAAAATGGCAAGGGGTTAGCTCATCCATTTTGCCAAAAAGTGAAAATTTTCAATCCTCTCCGTTTTCTCATTGTGATGGTCTCAACATGCCCTAGAATCATTATGACTCCCTGTTTGTTCCCAAAAAGGATAATAGGGCAAATATCGGAAATTTCCAAAACAGCCCCTTTTTTGACAAAATGGCAAGGGGTTAGCTCATCATTTTTGCCAAAAAGTGAAAATTTTCAATCCTCTCCGTTTTCTCATTGTGATAGTCCCAACATGCCCTAGAATCATTATGACTCCCCGTTTGTTCCCAAAAAGGATATTAGGACAAATATCGGAAATTTCCAAAACAGCCCCTTTTTTGAAAAAATGGCAAGGGGTTAGCTCATCCATTTTGCCAAAAAGTGAAAATTTTCAATCCTCTCCGTTTTCTCATTGTGATGGTCTCAACATGCCTTCCAATCATGATGACTCCCTGTTTGTTCCCAAAAAGGATATTACGGCAAATATAGGAAATTTCTAAAACAGCCCCTTTTTTGAAAAAATGGCAAGGGGTTAGCTCATCGATTTTGCCAAAAAGTGAAAATTTTCAATCCTCTCCGTTTTCTCATTGTGATAGTCCCAACATGCCCTCCAATCATTATGACTCCCTGTTTGTTCCCAAAAAGGATATTACGGCAAATATCGGAAATTTCCAAAACAGCCCTTTTTTTGAAAAAATGGCAAGGGGTTAGCTCATCGATTTTGCCAAAAAGTTAAAATTTTCAACTCTCTTCGTTTTCTCATCGTGATAGTCCCATGATGCCCTAGAATCATTATGACTCCCCGTTTGTTCCCAAAAAGGATATTAGGGCAAATATAGAAAATTTCCATTACAGCCCCTTTTTTGAAAAAATGGCAAGGGGTTAGCTCATCGTTTTTGCCAAAAAGTGAAAATTTTCAATCCTCTCCGTTTATTCATTGTGATAGTCCCAACATGCCCTTAGAATCATTATGATTCCCGTTTGTTCCCAAAAAGGATATTAGGGCAAATATTGTAAATTTCCAGGACTGCCCCATGAATGAGTTAATGGCAAGGGATTAGCTCATAGTTTTAGCCAAAAAATGAAAATTTTCAATCCTTTCCGTTTTCTCATTGCGATAATTATAACTTCTGCTTGTTCTAAAAATAGCTATATATTCAAACAGAAGTGGGTTTTAGTGATAGATAATATCATGAGATAATGAGAGAAAAAAATGTTCCTGATTACCATGAAAAATAGAGAGAAAGGGAAAATCTAAAGGGAAAAAAAAAGAATTGATAAAAAAATCCCCTGTACATCAGTTAAATTATTAGCAATTAGAACCTTATAGTTCTTCCCCGTCTTTGATCGACATCCTTCCTCATGACAGATATCTCTTCTGATAAGACCAAAATACTAAGAATTGTTCACTTTCATTTCAATTCATATCCGGGATCAGCAGAAAATAGTACAGTATCAGTCCATATGACCTCTTTTTACATACAACTATACCTAGTACAGGATAAAGATACCATTTTTACATATTGGTTATTGTACCTGCTATTACTTTTCAAAGCCTAATGATAAAAGTAATCTGAAAGTGCACATGGATCCCTTGTAGGCATGCAGATTAATATTGACGATATAAGGTTTCTTCCAAACCCTCACCAGGATAGTCTTGCAAATTACCTCCGGGAAAATAAAAAAGATTATTACGCCTCTGACAATTCATGTATTTAAAAAGACAATAACAACAACTAACAATGTCATTGTTCTAGGGGGTAATTGTCCTCGGGGAGGGGATGTAATTTTCCTTGGAGGGGTTGTCCTTGGGGGGTAATTTTCCCACTGGTAATTTGCCAGGGGGGGGGGGGGGGGAGGTGATTGCCCAGGCGGTAATCGTCCTAGAATCTGTTGTCTCCACCTACATGTATATCTTTCTTCCACCTGTCAGAATCTTTTTTCAATTTTATTCTTTTTTAATGCTTTTGTGAGAACTAACCTATTCCCTAAAGTTCCCCCTCATTTTCAAAAATAATCTGGACAAATGATAATTTTTGCTTGACTGCATAAAAGTGCATAAGGTACATAAACTTAGTTAAAACATCTCTAGTAGGTTCATACCGTTAGTATATTATTTAAATTAACGTGATCAATAGACCGGTTAACCAACACATTCAAATTTATGGATGTTTCTTTCTTGGGGACCTAATGTTGTTCCATAAACCTGTGAATGAACTACAATACCTGGAATCCAGTCTGCATACATTACATGTTGCTATGTCGGGCAAACCTTTCAGGTTTAAAATGGCTGAAATTTGAATATGTTAGTAAACTGGTCTCGGAGGGAACGCAAGCTCGTTCCCAAAATATCGGGTATAAGGGGTACTTTTCACGCACCAAAGTCCGGCTAGTAGTACACATAAATATGGCCCGTATTGACTTTACACACCGGACTTAGGGGGGTGTTTTCAAAAGGAGGGAACATGCATACGTGTACCCTAAATAACACTGAGTGAGGGGGCCACCAAAAGCAAGCAAAATATTTTATCCAATGTATGTATGTCCTTTTTCAGCACTTTTTATTTGTCATCAAAATATTTCAAAATATATTTAATGGAAGTTTCATATTCTGAATAGTTTTCTTATTTTCTGTATGACTCACTCCATAGACTCACCTGCCAGGGTATGTAGGTGACTTTGACAAGCTCAAGGCCAAGGGTGCAGAGGTCATCGCCTGCGTGGCCGTCAACGACCCTTTTGTAATGGCTGCATGGGGGAAGGCACATGAAGCCGACGGCAAGGTAACTATTGTAGGAGCACTTTTTTAAACAATTTTTTTTAATAAAGGAAATATGCTAAACTAACCCCCATGCCATAGTGACCCAAAAGTCATGATTTCCCATTTTTATTGTACTGTCCCCATTGGCCCTGTAATTGACATACAGGAGTTGTGATCAGTCTCATGATATTTAGCTCCATTCAATTTGAGCAAATAAGCAGAAGAGAAAGAAAACAAAAATCACGAAAATGCTTAGTTCACCCCTTACCATTTAGGTCAAAAAGCGATGAATTTCCATTTTTTTTTTCTTCAAATTGCCCAATTGCCGCTGTAAGGGACAAATAGGGGCTGTGATTAACCTAGTTATCTATCTGGGGGACATTCATTTTGGGCAAATACGATAAACAAAAAGGATTTTTTTTTTTCCCTTCTTCTTTTCTTTTCTCACAAAAATGCTGAACTTTGGCCAGAAAGTGGTGATTTCCATATTTTGCCAAATTTGCCAAACTCCCCTCCACTAGGGTCCTAATCAGCCTCATGATATTTAGCCATATTCATTTTGAGCAAATAAAAAAAAATTTGCCTCAAAAGTGGCGTTTGTCTCTATTTCTTGGGAAAACATTATGAAAGATAAGCTACCTGGAAAAGTTTATTTGGCACATTTCTAGTCCTATTATCAATCTTGATTGTGAAATGGGGTCTCTCTAAGAGGCAAATTTCTCCTTTCGTTTTCAGACTTTTTTTTGGATAAAGTAAAGTATTCTGCATGTGAATGTAAAGTAGGCTCTACTGCATCTGCAACATTACTAAGTGTTTGAGGAGGTGTGATGCTCAGTGCAGGGACATGATAGAGAAGGACTGGAATCAAGCCGGCGAAACTCTTGTAATTTATTCAAACGCATTCGTGAGTAAAAGCCTAACAATGGGATGTGTAACATTCCACTTGGCTTTGAAGTTCCATGCTCCGAACCGCGCTTCCACTGCGGGGACTTTCGGAAGCCAGGCACCAGTTTTACATTTATTACAGGCAAAATTTCAGTGTAAATCAAAAACTTTATCTGGGGATTGTATTGGGAATAGTGCATCAAACACATTTCCAAATTTAGAACTCCGTCCTTCCTATAATTTGTTTGCCAGAGTTGGTAAAAGAAAAATTACATCCTGACAAAAACTCAATAGTTTAGGATGCGCTAATTTGTGCATGTTTTAATGTCCCGTTATTTGATCCATGATTTACAATCTTTAATAACATTAAGTTTGCTAATGTGTGTTTTTGCATGTTTTTTGTTCTTTTGAAGTTAAAAAAGGATGAAAGTACACAAGTTTGTGTTCGCTTGTTCACCTCTCTACACATTCAACAATGGATGAGAAGGGACAGCGAACAGTTGCTGTGATACCATTTTCTGATGTAGGAATTCTAAATCCTGAAATTCATGCGCTCTTTTATCTCACCATCTGGTCAAAACAGTTGCAGATTAGTGCATAACTTTTTCGGCGGCTTGGAGCATGGGGTCAAAGGTGAGCAGCTTGATTTGAGTCCTTCTCTATCACGTCCCTGCTCAGTGGTAGAGCAGTGCACTTGTAACCAGGATGTCCAGAGTTCAAAACCCAAGTCGATGCACAAGTGTCTTTAGCAATGCATTAATGCTCACTGCGAAGTTCCTGGGAAAGGACTTAAAGCTGTCGGTCCCTTGCTTGCTTACCTACAAGCATACACATGCTTTCTTAGGATTCGGGTAAAACAAGCCAACAAGTATTATTTATTAAAGTGGCATGTTCCCCGTATTCCAGAGGGCGTTCAAAATACGTACCCGCTGGCGGACGGTGCTAGCTGCCTATTGACACCAACAGAATACGGCTCTTACGCAGATGGCATGTTCCGAATGCCCGCACAATGCCGATTATCGCATACATGTGCCGAAGTAATACCAATCGCAGTTCGGTTCTAAGATTCGGCTGCTGTTCCGTCCACTTTCGTGACGTCAGGATCGGCAGCGATCAGCTGGCTTGACGAAGGCAGGCCAGGCCGCGCGTGCTTTGATTGACAGCTGTATGCAAATAAGAAGTCGATCTTCGGAACCAAGATGGCGATGACTAGAGCAGCGATAACTACAATGGCAAGAACGTGCCCCTTTATCATCCAGGTGTATAATATACATATATATGTGAGTGTGTGAGACATTAAGCGACAATGATCTTTTCTTTTTATAGGTCAGAATGCTAGCTGATCTACATGGGGAGTTTACAAAGGTAAAAATGATATACCTCATATTTGTTTTGATTCCATTTTGATCATTGTGAAAGCTCGAGCTGGTCCCATGTTTATTTTCCATTCCTAGGGATAGTGTCATAATAATCACTCGTTAACTAAATTGTGGTCAAAAGCCTGAAATAAAATGCCTCACAAAGTCACCTTGTGAGTTCAAATTTAATACAAAGTTTTGGTAACATTTCAACAGGATTGGATTATGAACTTTGACAAAATTGGGCTCTAAAGGATTTCAAGAAAATTAAATATCAAATTTATCGGTAAATTTCAAATAGCACCTAAGGCCATACAATGTTAGCTGCGACCATGAAAATCTTGAAATGTGCAGTTCCGATATGTAATCTCCAAACAGGAATAGGAAAGTGATCGATCATAGTCAAGAAACATTGTTTTGAAGCTAAAGTAATATCACTCTTAGAGGGTTATTCACAGTTTATTATTTACAATTTCATCACTTGACTCGATTTCAATTGCGACAACGATCGTTGAATATTGTAGGATCGCATATGCTTCCAAGATGTTCATTTGAACCAAATTCATGACCCCATACCAAAACTTTGTAATGTTTGTATTACCTTTAATCCAATTTAAATGTTTCCAAGTTTCAATGCATTTGATATACTTGTATATAAAATAATGAATGCTGAATGATATGTGTTTTAGACTCTTGTGGATGTGAACCTCAAGTCTCCTCTTGCAACGTCCAACAGGCTGCCAATGGTTTTGAAGATTCTCATGTTAAAGTGCATTACAGTAGATTGGCTTTCAAACAGCATTTTAGTTTAACTGAAGTCTGCAACCACATGAATGAAATAACATGAAGATTTGAGTTGCAATGTATAAGTAGTGGTACAGTTACATTAGTTTCCATAGAATTTTCAAATTTGAATAAAGAATATTATAGATATTTTAATAAAAATCTACAAACTAATATGATACATAATACATAATATGGTATATGGTACTTTCACAACAGTTGGGTTTCCTATCTACCAACCATTCATGATTCATCATTTGTTATTAAAAACAAGAATTTTATAAAGCTTTAAAGAATGACCCAAAAATTACCTTGTCTCTATTGAAAATGAAAATTCTTAGGAAATGTTTTTTTTTTTTAAATTTGACTTGTACTGTTCATGGATTATATACTTTCCATTACACTTTGTATTTCAACTCTACCATTTAGGCGGTTGATATGGTCCTCGATGCTACTCCATTCCTTGGAAACAAACGATCAAAGAGGTAAGTCGCAAGGGGCAGTTAGTTCTAATAAAAAGTACCCCAATAAAAAAAAGAAATGGATTACCGGTAGTGAAAGTTTGAGCAATATGAGAAAGTAATGAATTTTTGAAATTGTACATAAATTAGCAACCCTCAATCCTCTCCCATCTGCTCTGTTCTAAAAAATGTCAGAAATTTCATTGCCTTAGTTGTAGTAGACTCATTTCATACCGGGGAGGGGGGAGGGGGCTGAAATTTGTATTATAATAGTGTGCAGCATGACCATACAGGAAGGTAAGTAGTTGTTGTGTCAGCCAAAAATAAGAAGGCTTTTTTTTGTGTGTGTAAAGTTGCTATAAGCACCAAGGACAAATTTTTTAATTTTATTCTATTTTTCTTCTTTTTTATAGATATTCCCTCGTTATCAAGGACGGAAATGTGGTAGCAGTCAATGAAGAACCAGATGGTACCGGTTTGACCTGCAGTCTGGCCGACAATGTGCTCAAGCAACTGTGACAGATGAAAACCGGATCAGTCCATTCTAAAATGTAGAGTAGGTCAGGTTTAATCCACAGATTAATGGAGCACCTAGTGTAAATTCCCGTCATTGAATTACAAAATAAAAGACAAAAATCACAGTAATTTTTACTAAATATAGTGACATTTGAATCTATGCCTCCCCCCCCCCCCCCTCCCAAGTCTGGTGTGTAAAGTCAATACGGGCCGATTTGGGGAACATGAATGCGGTCCATCCGTGGGGGGGGGGGGGATCTATGATTGAGTCATTAATCTCAAGTTGCCATAAATAATATGTAGTTCACCACAAACAATCAACAACAATTGGATGTAAACGTTTTTACGCCTGAACTCTTTGCAAGACTATGAGCTTTTTACGCACAAAGTTTTAGTAGACCTATACTAATAATATTGTAGGATTTTGTATAAGATCAGCGAAATAAAAAAACTGGAATCTAACAGTTTAATTTGATGTTATTTTGCTGTGCATGGCATGTTAATCATGCATAATTTAATTTATACAGTATTGCATATTATAATCTATGAATAAATTAAATTGTCAGCTGATGAATGTGACGTTTCACTAATTTTGAATTTGTTGAATTTTCACTCTCTAGAAAGGACTCCTGCCTCATATGTATATTGCCACTGAATGTTGACAAGTTAACCGACGGTTGCCCTTGCGACTCCTGAACTCCCACCATTGCTTAGGAGCCAAGTGCGTTGCTCTCAACATTCAATTGGGCCTTTATTTGGATATAGTCAGGTGGCTTAGCGTCAAATTGATCTATTATTGTTACTTGCCGGATAAAAGCGTCATTTTTTTATACAGAGCTTCCTTAGGACCTCCTAAACGATAAAAGGCTGTGGGCGCGCATAGTCACCTAGTAGCCAAAAAATAATTTATAAGGTAACATTGCGAATCATGGTAGGGTAGGAGCCCCTGGCTCCTACCCTAATATCGTTCTGTAGGCCCTGTACCAAAAATGGTGCTATTTTCCGGTAAGTAACGGTAATATCACTAAGCCACCTGACTAATGGTGAATATCCAAGATGCATAATACCTCAGAAAATAATAAAATACACAAACTCTGTTCATCATAATTTTGATATATTTCCTGGGAAAATAATAGTGGCACAAACGTGAAACTGTAACATTGATACATGCATAGGCTCACAGTTTTATTCAAACACTGATCATCAACATTATGGCTTTAAGTATACTATGTACATTTCTTATTTCATGCTTGGTCTTTTGTTTATGCCACAAATCAAAACAAAATCAAAAAGTAAGCAAGAAGCTTGTCTACTTCTTGCACCAATGTTTTGATTACCTGCCTCTATATTGGGCACCTACAATGTGGACATCCATTCACAGTAGTTCTAGTTCTGCAAAAAATTGTTATGTAAATCCAAAGTGCAATGATACACATCTTTCCAAGTACTGATTTATACTGCATCACACTAGGTATCGTTAAATGCTTGTGTGGACAAGTGTGATGTCAAAAATATGTTTGTTTAACCATAAAAAATAGTACTCTTATTTTCACCACACAAAGCCATTTTACCCGATGGTTAATGTTGGGTAGTTACATAATTTTAACCACTACAAAACCGAGTAGAACTCTTTCATCAAGGTACTAGTGTATGCTACCTTCTTAAAGACATATAGCAAGAATTATATATTAATACACCGTCTATAAAAAAAAATTGTATCCTTTGGAGTTTTCACAGCCCTTTAGGTAAAAATGATATAACCAAACTTTTACCCCTCCCGAGAAAAATACCAAAAAATGGCAGTTGTTAACTTCACCATTGATCATTTAACACCTGCAAAATGCAACGTCTAATCACATATATACAAAATTAAGATCATTTCAGATGCCAGCATGCTATTACATAATGATTTTTTTTCTTAGCATCGTATGTGAAATGGAGCGATCTCGTACATGGTTTAGAAAGAAAACAAGGAAATAATTATTTTTGATTCATCCTATAGATTTCTTACTGGCAGTTTGTAGGCCGTTCTCCAGAGCATTTTTACTATCAAATAAAGTCCATACACTTTTGTACAAATACCTTTTTAGTTGCGCCACCCTTTTGAGAAATGACAAGTTTTGCGTCGCCCTAATCTTAATTTCATGTCAGGAGAATCCTTTCCCATCACTCGATACACATCTAGTACCACAGACATATTTTGTGTAAACAAAACACCTGAATGCGATGATATTCTAAATGTTACGTCTTCATAAATACCTGGGGGGTGTTTCACAAAGATCCTAAGTTGAACTTATCTCTAAGTTGGACTTAAAAATTATGGAAAGCCATTAGCATCTTTGAAAATATTTTGTAAAAGTTATTTTGAAAGGCATTAATTGTTTATTCAAATCATTCATATTTTCTATCATCAAGGAGATTTCATGTTTTGGATGTGGAATTTATAAAAAGTCTAAAATACTTGAATTTCATTTTAAGACTCCAATGGCTGTCCATAATTTTTAAGTCCAACTTAGTGTTAAGTTCTACTTAGGATCTTTGTGAAACACCCCCCAGGTGAGGGATGCCTCCACAGCTCAATATGCCCACATGAAAGCCAAGTAGAAAGTGTGCAAGAAATCTTTTTCTTTCTTAATTAAAAAAATGTGACATTTCAACTATTCCAATACCAGAGTATCCTCTACTAAATTCCAAGCAGGAAGTGGAAAGCAAAGGTCGTATCGCTCCTATCCCATCCTGTGCAAAAAACTTTAAAATGATATCAAGAATTTCATCTAGCTCTTTGAATTTCCTTGTGCACTACCTAATAATTCTCATTAAAGATTCTTACAGATAACATATAATGCACTGTTTAACAATGATTGCACTAAAAGAAAAATTGTCATAAATGAACAAAAAGTATATCAATTAAGTTTTTCCTGCACTACTGAAATGTGTAATTTCAATACATTCTTAATATTCCAAGAAAATGAAATTTATACCAACAAAAAAATAAAAGAAAAGGAAGCCTAACTTTCACATTCTATGCCTATATCAAAGCAGATGAGTGCACATCTAGATTTTCTTGTGAGAATAGCGCACAATCCTATTCTTGGCTCATGAACACTGAAAGATTTTGGTCTGGTACATGACATTGTAGTACTGGATTGATATCACGACTGTACACATTCTTTTAATAGCAGATGACGAGAATCAGCACCAAATCATTCCTGCCATTACATTTGTCAAAACGTGCTAAGTAAATAGTGAGCAATCCTTCGCTTCCAATTAAAAAGTGGTCTTCTGGACTTGAAACTTTCATTATTCCATTTTGGCCTACTACCGTCATCACACACTACCATGCATATGGTATGTAAAAGTACCTAGTCACCAAGTCAGTGTTTAGGTCTCTCCTACACTTGACAGCCGTTTCTGGAATGAAACCATGCAGTCATATCCTTGGAAAAAATAGCCAAGAAGATTTTTCCTGCTTTGTCTCACATCATTCATCCTCCAATAAAACGTTTTGTGCCAATTGTCTTCAGCTTGAAATTATATATTCAAAATCGGGTAGCTCCTTTACCTCGTTGACGTTCTCAATTCTCATGCTTATGTCGTTCACCACCAGATGCTAAGCACGAGATCAATAAAGTGAGGTACATCTTTGAAAGCATGACGATCAAAGAGCAGATGTTCAACATTCTAAAGCAAAACTATATCATACATCCCCTTAAGAACTACAAACTACTAGCTAATGACACATTTTATTTTTCTAACAAAGTATTTCAGAAAAGGTTTGCAGCTCATGTGCTAATCTCATTACAGACAGAAGGCATGAAAGCAGATTGGCTACACGGTATGCTCCAAACACCATTACAACAATCACAAAAGATTAACAGTTCTTATCAAAAAGGGAAACAATTACGAAGTATATGAAAGGGTGTCCACAAACCAGGGATATACAACCATTCACTGTTGACATGTCAAAAATAAAGAGAAAAACACTGCGATTACAACCTCATGTCAAAACACCATTCAAGAATTGTTAGACATGATGGATACTGGTAGCTCACAGGAATGATACCACATTTACACTATAACCATCGACAACATTTTATACAAGTGGTGAACCTGTCGGCTTAATTCAAGGCTCTGGATAAATTGTTCCAAATAAATGTGTTTTATGAGAGCCTTCCAAAAGGTTCTCCCAATCATAAAAGGAAAAAAAACACGGAAATTTGTTGATTTGCAAATACAACAATAACAACACTGAAGGAAGTAAAACAAATCCTCCTTCAATATGCTTGATAGGGAATTCAGCTAGCTTCAATATTTGGACAAGAAATTCAATTTAAAAACAAGAATATGTACTTGGGAGTAGTACATTTCAATTAAGTAATGACAGTCACATGATAACTTTCTTTTCAAGATAGTTGAACATTCATACAAGACAAACATATATGTACAATACAATTTTTTTTCAAAGATAAACTCTTTTGCATGGAAGATTTGCGCCACTAGAGATTTCGTCTGGTTTAAAATCTTTCAAAATACAGTACACAAGAAATCCACACTGATATATATATATATTTTTATATTCATATTTATAATACACAATATAGTAAGTATTAGAGCTAGTTTATTGGCTTGTACAAAAGAGATGTCACATATTTCTTTCGATAGCGATGTGTCGCACTAAGCACCATTACTCCATCCTGCAAAGCAAGGGTAAAAAGGAGGGATACAGTTCATGACTATGCTTATTTAAATGAGCATTTCTCAGGTAATATTCAGAAGAAAATTAACTGCTGTTTTTGAATACCCACATTATTACCAATCTTCACCTATTTCACATTCACATGATGTAAATGACAGGAATTAATTCCTTAAAAAGCCAGGGTAATAATTGGGAGCGCCAGGAGTGTCACATATGACAGACATGAGCACTATACAAGAACCCACTATTATTATTATTATGATAAATTATGTCCAACTTGCTTGTTGATGGCATATTTTTTTAAGCCATTTGAAAAGTAACAACATTAGTTTGTTACAAAATACATTATTGTAATGAAAATGAAAACAAAGATATTTTTAAAGACTTACTTTTATTGACAAGGCATACAGGTGATTCAACATAACATGGTTTGGTTCAGGCAATAGCGCTGGCTCATACTGAAAAACAACAAATCAAGATCATATTAAAGATACTATGTCCCTTTTGCAGCCAACATCTGTGAAATTTAAACGTTAGCAGTGTCCTAGTATTCAAATTATGCAAGGAAACCCATTTACCTTCTAGACTTCACTGTCATACAATATTGAGTGACTGACATGTTTTTTTTTCTTTGGTAATAACATACATAAAATGAGCTGTAACAGGTACATGAGCATTTGTCTACATCAGAGTACATCATCTACATCAGGTTGACAAACGCAGGGTGAAGGAATATCTGGTAACCCCAATGTTTATAGTTGATCTTTTTAGTATTTGAGCTGTGCCCCAATAGTAAATGTTAGATATTTTGGATTTGTATGCCTCCGCTACAAAGTGGCTGAAGGCATTATGTTTTGGGGTTGTCCGTCCTGTTCTCATGATCGCGTTATCTCAAGAACCGATTGACGGATTACTTTCATGTATGATTACTGTATGTAACTTGCAGAGTCAATGAACTGATTAGCATTGTTCAAACAATTACAAAAGTTTAATTTTGCAAAGGAGGGGGAGAGAGAATTGCAAAATGGATCGTATCAAATTGTAAGCTTTCAAGTCAAGATCGTTGATAAAAAGCCTCTTCAAAATATGGACTATGGACACAATATAACAATGTGGAGGTTTGCAATCTAGGATAAGGGGACTGAAATGGAATTAGTTTTATAGTGGGTCTGAAGGGAAGTCGGACTAAACAGCACAAAGCTCACAAAAATACATAACTTTTTGCTCACAGCAACTGTACATAATTTTGCCCACAAAAACCACAGCAAATTAGTGCATTCCACAGCAGTTGTATCAATAAGTTATCAATCTATAGGATGATTTATTCCCTAAAAAAGTAATTGGCTATTAAAGGGATCCGGTAACTTTGTCTCAGATTCTGAAACAAAATTCTGGATTTAGCTCATGATGCAATGATGATTATAAACCTTTAGGTCAGTCAGGAACCCCATGAATTTTGCAAGCCGATCACCTGTCTGATTATCAAGATATTTATGATTGGAATTACAAATTTTGAAAACCGTTCGCCTGACGGTTTTCATAACACTACAGTCTATTGGGGAAAACGAGTATGGTAAAACCGGTCACTCAAAGATTTTTACTTTTTTGAGGCACTGCTTGATCATTTTTAAGTGTAATTTTTTTAGGGCTTCAATATTACACCATATCACAGACACTGATAACACGTAGGGCCATGTATCTCAGATTTAACATGCTTAAACGATCCCTTTAAATTCATAAATTCTGCACAAGACTACATCTCTGTTTTCTCTCAATCCATCATATCCAATAAACCATATTTTGTACTCCCATTTAGGAGAGCTAATTTAGTAATGTCACTAGCAGTCTTTTCCCCAAACCTGATGAGCAGTAAATAAATTTTCTGGAAATTTCTATAATGGGGCGGGTGCCAGGCAGAAAGGCATTAGCCGAGGACTTGGTAATACACTGAATTTGTATCGGGAATTTTCCACTAAGTGCCTTCTGCCAGGAACACGACGATGACCGCAGTGCCTACCTGGGGTCCGATGTCCTTGTTGAGTATGACTTGGAGGAGCTGAGGGGGCAGGATGGGAGGACCGGTGGTACGTTGCTGTAGTTCTTGGCTAGGGATATCCTGATTGTAGTCCCCAGGAGGTGAGCCCGACATGTCCACGCCTGTGAGGGTTAAAGCAATGGAATGAATGTGAACGAGAAGTCTCATCAGACATTTGATGGATTCGTTGAAAGTGCTGAAACAGGCAGCACTCTCTCACTGAGAAATGTGGTATCTTGGAATAAACAATTATATATAATACAATACAAAAAGAACAAACTATAACCAACATGAAATAGATGTGGCAAGAAAACACATGTCACAAGGTATCCACAGAGGTATCCATGAATTCTACAATAACGACATATTTGAGTCGCATGCTCTAGTCTAACAACCCCCCCCCCCCCACACACACACACACTCGGCAATAAAACCCCTTCCAGTGCATTTTTAAAATCAGTTTTCTATTCAAACTCGGGTCTGAAAGTGATTAATGGGAACACATTCAATTGGATCCCATACGATTGTTTCATCATCCCAAGACCGAATGTGCTGGCCCATGTTCCTCTCAACATATTAAAATGTTCAATACTTGCCTTTTTCCCTCTCTGAATCTATGGCAAGAGCCTCAAATACTTCAAAGTCGGACTTGGAGACACTGATGAAGTTGTTGACAGTCCCAAATGTGTTGCTCTGCAGAGGCTGTTACAATTGAAGACAAAACATATATCATATCAGTGGGGCCTGATCAAATTACTTTATTAGACTACTTTGAACAAGAACAAGAACATAACAAATAAGAACTGTGCGGAACAGACCTTCACAATGCCTAATATTACAATAAGCAGAAACGGATCACAAGATTCTTTGAATGACGTGATATCATAACTTGCATGACAGTATGACGTTTTTCACACGTGTAATTCTGGAATATCATTGAGCAGATGTCGTAGAGATATTCACCCTAAAGCTTAACACTCTTCTACCAACAATCATAAATATTGTGCAGATAAATGGCATGCCAGATCATTGTTCATGAAGTGAATGAGGAAAAGCATTTTCTATATAAAAGGGAATAACATTGAGAGAAAAATACCAAACGATGCACAGCCGTAATATTTTGAGTTGTTACAGGTTTAGAGTCTTTAGACTCGCCCTCTATATTGAGCCAGAAGGGTGTTAACTCATATACTTAAAACAAAGAGTTAACGCTCTTGTGGCTCTAAACAGACGGGTATGTATGTTGACAGGTTTAAAGTAAAAAAAAAAAAAAATTTGAGTACGTCTAATTGGCGAACAGTGAAAGCTATACAAGGCATTCAAAGAGTGTACACAATTATGAGATGTAAACACGGCCACTACACACACTATTTCTTTGGATTAGCATGGCGATAGCAAGTTGCATCTTGTGCAGTTAGCATGATAAATGTGACTAGTGAGACATGAACTAGTACACAATAAACTCAACAGCATAAAGCCCCATTTAGACATGACGCTAAAAACGCTTCACAAAATAAGTAGCGTGGCAAAACTTTTGTATATAATAAGTGGCAAGAGGCAGTTATAATTTTATTCTATTTATTTATTTATTCATTTAAAAAAAAAATTATTATTATTATTTTTTTTTTTTAAATTTATTTATTTATTTATTTATTTTTTTTTTTTTTGGGGGGGACATTACATGCAATAATGGCCCTGGGCATACTAGCTGATTTGTGTGTATCAGTAATACAACAATGAAAAGTGCATGTGCTTGATTGTCTTGTTCAATTGTGCATTAGCGGTTCTTGGGAAGCGCTTTTAATACCGCCTCATGTCTAAGCGGGCTTCAACAACACTCGAGACAGCGAAACAACATCGCCAACTTACTTCGTCCGATTCGGGTGAGGTTCGCATCTCCAGAAACGAAGAAGAGTGCATGAGAATCATAAAGAGCAAGATCCTTGTGAAGGAAAATGCATTTAATGCTTGCTAGCGGGGGTGTGTGGAATGTTGAGTTAAATTGCAGTGATCTATTTCCCCCTTCCAATCAGAAGTACCAATCTTTATAGTTTCTCTATGTGCAACCAGTTGGAGTGCACCGTTATTAGTATTCAATGAACCATGCTCAAAAGAGTGTCTCAAATGGGCTCTCTCTTAATCTATGACTAGTATGTAACGTTTTTCCATTACTGTAACAAATTTTTACCACACTATCAGAATGTCCACAAAAATAGACATAACAAAAAAGAAAAGATTATCATATTACATACATCCACGATGAGTTTGAATATAAGAGATATACATCTGCAAAATAATAAGATGAGTATCAAGTTCAGCCCAACTAAAAGAAAAATAAACAGCTTCAATCAAATATACAGTGTATATTATGACATAGCCAGGGGGAACAGAAAACTGAAGCTGAAGTAGTCTGCAGGCACAAACCTTTTGTCAGTTATAACACGCAACACAGGATATAAACTGTAAAGCTTTGTTCAGATTTGAAGCAGTAAAACTGCTGTTTCTTTTTAAAGATGACGATAAGTGTTATATACTTCACAGAGCGAACTGAAAACTTGCCATTAACTTACATGAAGAAAAAAAAATGCACATTGCATTTTTTGCAATAGTCAACTGCTTTATATCTTAATGAGCTTTCAGACTGTGGACTGCATTCCGTACATCTTTTATTGTAGCTGTTCCTGCCTTATTTGAGACAGCCAGAGAATGATCAAGTTTGGCTAGTTTCAAGAATTTTATTGGTAAGTCGAGATAAGAGGCGAAATGGTTTCTGTGCCTGCAGACTAAGCTGGAAGCATGATAGCAACAGTGCCCCTTGACCAGTGACTGTGTATGACCTTGACCAATGAGTCTGTAGCTGGCTTACCTGGCGTGGATTGTGGATCCACTGTCCATCCACATAGAACTTGTACTCATGCTGACCCTCGGGAAGATTAACGATGGCTGTGAAATCACCCTGACTGCAAGGGGAAAGATATCGGATTAGTTCAGAATGCTCAAATTGTCAAAATACATGTATGAAAAAGTGACCACTTATGGCTCTTGCACATCACTACAATAGATAATAAATCTAGAAGACAACAATAATCTTGAAACATTTGTAAGATGGGAGAATTATAGACATTGCTTGTGAAGAAACTGAAATACAGACTATTTCACACATTTGTATGAGAGCGAGGGGTGGCTGAGAGAGAGAGCATGAAAGAACGAGAGTGAGAGAGAGAGAGTGGGGTGAAGAAGGGAGGGAAACAGTTATAGATATGTACCTGTAGAATTGTAAATACAGTACAATACAGTAAGGTTTATGATTCTGATGGGAAAAGATATAAAGCATATTCTGAAATGCATAAAAACATGAAAACACTTCAAATATAACATCCTTTTATTTCTTCCATACAGGATTTTTTTTTAAATTTCATTACGAACTGCAAGGTAGTGATTGTTTACCATACACTTTATGAAACACAACCACATGAATACTTAAAACCAGGATTTTTCTCATCTCAATCCGTTTATTCCCCATTCCCCCCCCCCCCCTTAATCTTCAACATGGACAACAGGGTTAGCTTTATCACAGAATTAGATTAATCAGCCATCCTTGACATTCATTAGTAACAATATACCAAAGCTAAACGTGCACGAGAGCTGTGGCTGCAAGAGTTCGGATGAAACTTTGACCTTTGGTGAATGAAGGGTAGATAATTATAAACGAGAAAATGATCTGCACTACAGATTACATCCAGACTGAGACGAATAGAGGTTCTTTGTTTGCCTCGTCAGGTCGTGTTTACATTTCAAATATGAACTGTTTAGATAAAGCTCTTAATTTCATCATACACAGGGCATGTATGTATGCATACTGGCTGGATGTGTACCTACTAACTAGCACATCTTCTTGCACTACTCCTAGACGGATAGATCACGATATGTAGGCCTAGTGTAACATTTGCTTGCAGTCATGTAGCGAGCGGAACAAAAATCTTATGAAACAAGCAATGTTGACTAAAATAAGAGACCCTGTACCCCTTGCTTCTTCCTTCTTCTTGCATTGCTTTATCCTTCTTTTTTTTTAACGAAAAGCCTTTAAATTAAAAAATTAAGCACTTGGATCAATAATATTGGCATTTACTTTTATTTACCCCCCCCCCCCCCCCCCTCCCCTAAAAAAAAAAAATAATAATAATAATCTACCTTGTCCATCTCATCCAGACATAAATGGGTACTACTTGATATGCTTGACCACTACTACTGGGCACTTGGCTATGCCCATAGCAATGATATTGGAGTACCGGTATACGGAACATCACTACATTGTACAAGTTGAATCTTTAATATCATTCTGTTTTAAAATGTAATATTTTGATATGTTTAAATTACAAACTCACCTCTTGATCATTGGAATCTTGGTATTCCAATTGTTGAATGATCCTGCAACAGCCACAGACTTGCCGCCCCCTTCCCAACGAAACACCACAGGCAGCGCACTGGGGTCCACGTAGGGCTGCTCCAACAGGGTAGCTGTCCGAGGCCGGCCATCGGGACCATCATCACGCATCAATTCCTGGAAAAGATAGCAGATTTCAAAACTGTTTGAGATACAATAAATGATTTCTTACAAACACATGCACAATACAGAATATTTACACACTACAAGTCTACCTGGTTCATTCTGCCCTAGTGACATGCATTAATTGTTCAAGTTCTGCTGATTATAAAATTGCCTTCAAGACGAAAAGCAGCCCACATAGCATTATCAGTAATTCATACCAGCACAAAAGGCTGGCATAAATAACTAATAAACAAGGCCAGCATACAGATGGAGGGTTAAAACTTGTTCTTAATTTTAGGAATTTCTTTTTCCTTGTCCTCTCTTTTGATATGGTAATGTAAATGTGATGACATGATAGCATGTTAATTCTGCATACTAGCCAAGCCAACGAGAGAAAACAAGATTCTAACTAGCTTGGCCAAGTTTTACATCAGCCCACTTATGATTTTCCACGCAATTCGAACACAATCACAAAGCGTGTTGTTCGTTCGATTCGCGGGTCGGACATCCAAAATTTTGGCGGGTGGATCTCAAATCACAACTGGTCAGAGGTGACGGAGGCAAAGTTCACATCGGAGAAGTGTGATGCCTTCTATTCTACCCTACAAATATCAGTCGACCGACATTTCCCATCGAAAACGGTGAAAAAGGTAAAAGTGCATCAGAAAGACAAACCTTGTATTACTTCTGAGATTAAGAATGAGATCCCTTATCGGTAGCAGTTTTTTAAACAAGGTGAGAAAATCAAGCATTGTATTGATTCAAAAGTTCCGGGGTCAAACCTACAGTGTTAACATGCAAATTTTTCTGATGGCTTTAGAGTGATTTACAGTTTTGCAACAATTTTTATTGAATAAATTTGGCAAAATGTCAGGGAAAACTACTAATAAAAATAAACGTGCGGCTAACGGGGGAGATAAGGAGACCAAAGAACTGATAAATATATGAAAAGAGCCAGATCGAAGCACAGGCAAGAATCGAACAGAAGTCGTGCAAACAAAAAACCAATTGGGAGGAGCTGGCCGTAAGACTTCACGACGTTGGCTTCACCCATAGGTCTGGTGCCCAGATCAACAATAAGATCAAGGATTTAAAACGCCACTATAAACAGCTTAAGGATGGTTTGAAATAATCGGGAGGCTGGCGACCTGACCAATCTGGGTAAATATCCCCATTTAATATTATGGGAAGTAGGCCTGCAATAGAGCCACCTGCAGGGCAGGTAAGGGAAAGCAGGCAGGCAGGCAGCAAAAAAATGACAACAAAGGAAAAGATGAAGGAATGGATAATAAACTTTACTAAAATTGTTATTAGATGGTCAGGATTTACCAAATGGACGGTAAGGTTTCAGTTAAATAACACTCGGCCGGGTTAGAAATGTTGCACAAGATTCATGTAAATGAAAATTGAAAATTAAAATGAGATTTTGCGCGGTTTACATGAGGAAGCTGGGTTAATGTCGACTAGTGCGGGTGCCACTACTTCCGGAAGTTGCACCGAGTAAGACTGGGTCGGTGGAAGATTGTGATTAACTTAATCATGGCAAGTAGGTCCAAGTAAAAGCGTATGGACAACTAATGGTGCAAGTCAAATATTTATGGAATATTTATTGCTGCAGGGAAAAACTTACGCCGACCAGGGAGCCACGTCTGAACATGGCTAGAGACGAGGCCTTTCAGCTCAACAAAAATTCCCTGATTATAACAAGATATCTTACTCTACATGCTTCTGTAGTAGTCACAGCTTGAGTGGTAGAATACGAGTGAAGGAAGAGGTTTGAAATGTTACAGACCCCTTTGGTAAACACCTGAAAACATGTCTCTTTTTTTCCTTGACATTTAATCTTATCTCGCCTTTTTTCAAGTCTGATATTTGCGCAAGGGCAAGGATGGACAGCAGAAAAATATTTGATATTCAGGAAAACACACTATTAATTGCCACAGCTAAGCAATACCATGCTTTTGACCTTTTAAGAAATCAACTGCCATCGGGTAAAATGTAAAAACAAGGATTTACAGAATGATTACAATTTCCCTAGAATTTATTTGAAATTATGTAAAATGTATACCGGAAATGTTAATGAAGGCTAGGAAGATCAGCATGGTGTTCAATTATAAGTTGATAACTTGATAGAGGGTATATCGGATAGTAATTCATTGGTCATATTCAATATGCACATGAAAGTTTCTTGTTTTACAGTACCGTATATTATCATAGGCATACTAAGGCTGCTTCTCCATGGTATTAAAGCATTGGTAAGCATTCACATAAAGCAAGGCGGCTTTAATAATGTACATGTAACATCATACAAAAATCGTACATCATACAAAAAATCATACAAAAAATTGTAATCATTCTGTAAATCCTTGTTTTTACATTTTACCCGATGGCAGTTGATTTCTTAAAAGACCTTGATCCTACCTTTCCATATATAACTTATATTTCAATGAAAATGTCATACTATTTTTTTCTGTTGAACATGTAGGTTGAGAAAAAAATAGATGTTTTGAGAGCATGGAAATGAACATACACAAATGTATTTGGAGAGGGTAAAAAATAAACGTACATTCTGTCATGTCCTTGCCTCATTAAACTATGTAGGCATGCCATAAAACTGATAAGTTAGGGGTCATTTATGACTGAACATAAATTTGGAGCTTATATTATTCTGACTTCTTTGTGACTGACAACTTGGATGATATCCAAGTTTTACACCATGCCCATCTGCCCTTTTATATTTCTAAATCATGCCATTTTAATTTGATCAAAAACACAGTAAGTATACATGTATAACACACAACTCTCTCTCAAACACTGATTAAGACAACATGAAATACCCAGGCAATGGTAAAAAAAACATAATTAGTGAACACCGTTATTCTTGGCACCTCTTGGTCTTCAATCAAAAAGCCATTTCCCTTTTCTTTTTTCTTGAAAAATGAAATGACCACAATTTCGACTTGGCTGCATGGTTAATTTTTCAAAGAGGTGCATTCTACAGCTGATCTTGTGTTTTGGTAATGGTATTGCATTTTGAGATGAAAAAAAAAAATGACCAGAATCAATATTTGGATGTTTTTAACACACAGTAGATGGGACGTTTTGATCAGCTAATGGGTGTCAAAACGGATGGGGGCATGGGCTGCATATATGCCCTCCACCCCACACAAAAAAAAAAAAAAATCAGCCAGCGACTTAAAGTCCCATACTGTTGCTCAAACTGCCCGAAACACAGTGTTGTGATTTGATTACATACAATATACAGGAATACATTTTTGTGTTTGTTCCTGGAGGGGACCCCGGAGAGAGAGAGAGAGAGGGAGAGGGGGATCAATAAGCAGAGTAGGGTTACCAGACAGACTCACCCTGAATCTACCGGCAGGAAGATCAATACTGTCATCTAGAGAAGCCTGCTGGATGATGGGTATCTTGCCCGTCTTGAAGTCAAAGGATGATGACATGGACTCCTTGGTGGGAGACAGAGACGAGCCATCCTTGCCATCCCGCTTGGCTGCTGTGTTACCCATTTTGGTATTATTTATTCAGCCTGGTAGAAAAAGGAAAGAGAGACAAAATTCAGTATGAATGAAATCTCCTGACCAGGGGGGTGTTTCAGAAAGATCCTACTACACTACACTACCAGGTATAAGTGTTCCAAATTTGAAGAGACGGTACTCATTTTATCCATTTTCAAACCACGCTGTGTATAAAATTAAATTTAAGCTTGTTGCTTACTTACAAGCACACACATGCTTTCTTAGCAGTCAGGTGAAACAAACACACAAAAAAAAAGGTAAGCACACAAATCAAAGACCTAAAAACCTAAGAGGTAATATACATGTAACTGATATAAATTAAATACACATGTACATGTAACAAAAGATCAATTTCAAAATTGAATCCGACAGTCATAAAACAGAATGCGAGCGCACATCGAAACTTGACTATTACACATTATGTGCCAGAAAACTAGGCACTACACTTGCAGGAAATGTTGAAGTGAGAAAATAGATAGGGACATCATTAAGTCCATGCCTAAATTCCACTCCTGGGAGCACTTAGGTGAGGGCTCTAACAGGGGGTGCAGTGGGTAGGTCTGTCTGACATCATAAACAGCAGCTGCTATGAGCTACAATGATCCCTGGCCTGATCTTCATCAAATTCAGATACCAAGTCAATAATACCAACAACCAGATTTTATAGTTATATGTTGACTGATTATACATGCCAACTTTCTGTCAGCTTTTATTTGCTATGAATTTATTTGAGAAAATAAATAAAATATATTTTTTAAGGTGAGGAAGAGTGGCAGTGTAGTTCATCCAGTGGACACACCATTTTTCACCGTTATGAAATGCAAATTGCTGTATACATGTACCTCACTGTAATTAAGAATACGGTACTGATCCAAGTACATCTTGGGGTCTTGCAACCATCCTTATTTGTGTACAGACTAGTGCTGTAGCCGAACCACCGAACCGAACGGAAGTTCGCCGAACATGGCACTTCCGAACCGAACCGAACCGAACGCAAAGGCCTGGTTCGGATGTTCGGCAGAAAAATGTAAACGTTTTTGCAAGCTAATAAACTTGTCATTTTGTACCTAATTTTCATGTCATGATTGCTCATTTTATATTTACTTTTTTCCCATTTTCCGCCTTTCCATGCCTATCCAGTGGTGGGCGCAACTTCACTGGCGCCATTTAAATCCCAAATCCTGACCACGCTACGTCGCGATCGCAAGCCATAAACAAGACCATGTGCGTGATCAAAACAGGCTCAGCTCAAACCCATTCAACAACAAATTTATATTTTAATTGTAACCATATCGGACAAATTTTACAATATAAATAATGAAATAAATATATATTATAGTATGGTATTTATTTATTCAGGAAAAATAGGGATTTTATATTTTTCCAACTGAAAATAAAAACTTATAAAAAACAGTTATTGACAAGATGGCAGCTTTCATGACTCTAACATTAGACAAAAACCGTCTCAGAAAATCTTTTAAAAAAATCATTTATTGACAAATTAAAAACATGATTCTTTTAAAATTGAAAATAAAACAAGATTCAAGACGGAAATAGGAATGTAAGTAGTATTCTTCTTCACAAATAATTACGTTTAGAGCAGTTTTTTAATGTGAAATTCGTGCTGGTCGGAAGCAGGGTGCAAAAGTCCTCCGTGCTGGTCGGGCCCGGCAGGGCGGGCGGTCCGCCCAGTGCCGACCGCCGAGGCTATAACGCTGCTTGCTATTATATTACCAAACCCCGAACCGAACCAAGTTCGGGTGAAAAATTGCCGAACTCTGCCGAACCGAACTGAACACGAACATAGCGTCTGACTTACAGCACTAGTACAGACTAAGGTAATATTATTTAGTACCAAATCTTACAACCAAGGTATCATTTGAAGTTCATCATCTACCATCATGGAAGGAAGACTTTTCACCAAGATTCATATTTTATGCATATTTTTTACTTCAATGGTTATAAATGATGACCCCAATAAAGGGCCCAATGTTTGCCAGAGGCCTGCCCCGTGTGGTAGCAACTAGTATCAAAATCCTGCATTCTTACTCACAGTGAAGAAGCATCCTTAAACTTTAAAACATCTCAACATATTTGAATTCATTTAAATACGTGTATATTTTCATGCACGTTCTACTACAGCAGTTACAACTGAATGTGATCAGGGGAATGCCTGACATGGCAACAACTTTTTTTCTCTTGGAGAAGAAGCATTCGTATATCTGAATAATATATTACCATTTTGTGTACCGATTCATTTCACATATTGCAATATTAGTCTTCTTTGCTATTCAAAGCATAACTTGCTTTGATAGAAGCCCATAATAACTTTCTTCACATAATTGGATTCCTTGAAGTACACATAATGGGCCTGGCTATGTTTGTGTATTATGATACTTGGGCCTCAGAGTTTGCTAGGTATTGATTCTATATGAGGTTTCTCTTATTATTTGATAATAAATTTATATATTCTGCGCATTTAAATTTAAGCATCATGAATATAGTAAAAAAAAAAATTTAAAAAGGAAAAGATCTTGATCATCAATAAATTCACAATATTTCAAAGCATACTAAAAAAAAAGACAATACAGCAAAATGTGCAAATCTTAACTACAAATTATCCTGCAGAGTAAATGAAAAATCATACTGGAGTGGAGTGATAACAAAATTGCTGACTTGAGATACATGTACATAGCAGCTGAATTCGGACTAAATTATATTTCAGCAGACCTTCTTTCATTCCAAATTTGTTCATGAATGGAAATGATGCTATTCAGGCCCACCCAACTATGAGAACCAGGCCGACTAAAAGGAGTCAACTTGAACGAACATTGTATATGTGTTCTCTAGAGGGTGACACTATAATTACGGTTGATTCATTGAAATCATACTACTCTGTACGTGACTGAAGCCGTAATGTACAAAGAAAAGAGTAAACAGACTAACGACGTGATCAGCCAAAAACATTTGGTAGGGCTTCATGGATTTTAGAAACGATAGATTTAACTTGGAGGGGAACGTGAGGACACTTTATCCTCCATTTCTCGACCGAGTGACTACTAGAATACAAGATATAATCATATCATTAACATAAACCATAGTAAATGTCATGCCCATGGAGATACTACTGGCAGCCAAAAGAGGAAAAATGAGACATGTAACACCTACATTTGCAATACCGGCAAAAAGTTAAACTTTTGTTTTCCCGTATATTATTGAGAGATAAAGAAATAAAATTCTCTTTTATTATCTACTCTTCTTTTTATTTTCTTTACTTACTTTTATATCTCATTACTATTATTGTGTTTTTTTCCTTCCTTTCTGGCTACCCTGACATGTAGTAAATCCATGAAGCTAAACCATGGCTTAAAATCAACTTCTTTGAATTTGTAAAAATCCAACGTACCTGTAGGTATGAGACTACAGGAATGATTTGCTCTTGGTGAAGCACCTCCCGTTTTCCACTCACAGGTAGGTACAGTGACCGGTGGCCACTTCTGGTAAAGCGTTATGCTACAATGCGCCGTCGTGGTGACTGTCAGCTGCAGAGAAGAAAAAAACATACAGGAGACCACACTGAATATTTAGAAACATGAGATGGATTGATCCTATTAGAGTTGTGAAAGATACCAGACTGCATGAGGGCTGTCCTCATCTGCTCGATTTTGCCAAATAACCCACTATTTCATATATCCCAATCGCAAATTAACCAGTTAATTTGCGTCTTCATCATCATGCAGTTGAAATTAACTGGATATTTGGTCAAGAAAATATCCATCAAAGATTCAAAATCTTGGTCTTGTTTAAAAAACATCCTGCTATTTGGGAAATAACGGGCTAGTTTGCGCCTGTCCGAGCTAGTTTGTGATGCACGTATCGATCTGGTGAAGATGCAATTTTGAGCTTTGGGATAATATCTTGAGTCTGAAAATAGCGGGATATTTGGCAAACTTGAGCTGATGAAGTCAGGCCTATGGTCTCTCATCAACCTGCATGTGGTCCACCCAAATCAAACTCAGTCCAACCCCTTACCCCCCTCCACACATCCCCATGACTGCAACAGAGCCATTTCAGTTAATGTCTTGTTATTAATACCTGCACAAAATCCCGGACTACACCATACCCGGACTACACCATATCCTAACTACGACAAGACTTGGCCAATGATCAAACTGAGAATACAAATATAACCTAGACTCTCTGTTCATATGACGTGTGGAGCTGCAAAAACACAAACGATACGTGCCTATAACCAGAGTTGGCAGATTAACAACTTAGCTAATAAATTTTGTTAGCACAGTATGTGTAAAAGAAGCTGTGGATCTTGCTCGATTGGTGAGAGGAAAGTTCAATCTCTCACATCTCACAGTCGAAGTCGAAGTCGAAGAAAAAGAGAAGAAGAAGAAGAAGAAAAAGAAGAAGAAAAAGAAGAAGAAAAAGAAAAGAAGAAAAGAAGAAGAGAAGGAGAAGATGAAGGAGAAGAGCGAGAAGAAGAAGAAAAGGGAAAAGCAGAAGAGGAAAAAACAAGGAAAAAGAAGAAGAAACAACCAAAGAAATAAAAAAAAACAAGAAGGAGAACAAGAAAAAAATAGTAGTACAAGAAGAAGAGAAGAAGAAAAAGAGAAGAAGAAAAAGAAAAGAAGAAGAAGAGAAGAACAAGTAGAGCGAGGAAAACAAATCAAATCAAAGAAAAGAAAAAGTAGTAGTACAAGAAGAAAAAGAGAAAGAAGAAGGAAAGTAGGAGAAGAAAAGAAGAGGCCTATATTTTCAAAATACATTATTATAGAACTACAATGTTTTGGGGGATTTTTTTTTTATCCTGGATAATATATATTAAATAAATTCATACACATTTCAAGAGAAAAATAAAAGCAATAACATATTCAATTGTACCTTTAAATTCTTAAATAATTTTGTTTACACCTTTTTTTTAAAGACTGAATATGACAGAAAGTCTCCGATTGAAATTTTACAAGCATTTGACCTTGGCCAATGTCACATAAGATTTGTATATGATTTATATATTCGGATTTTATCATTTGGATTTTAAAACAAAGAAAACATTATCTTCAATAAATAAGTAAACCTTTTAATTAAAAGAGGGACATTTCAACTGTGTATTATGGTGACAAATATGTTTACTGATCATCTAAAGCATACTTGGTGTGTTTCCTTTTCTGGAATTCATTTCAAGCTCTATTATCTCACACAGCCATGTAGTCCTACTTCCTTGTTTACTTCCACTGAGCATAACAATTTTTTTACAAATTTATAAAAAGATGTGGCATTTCCTGCATGCACATGTAATAGTTTAACACCTGCAGAATTCACTGTGATACAATTCTACAGGTAGAGGGTACCATTACATCTGATAAAGTGAGTTTAACAATTTAATATCTAAAACATCTACAATAATAGTTTTTAAAAAAAACCTCAATAAATATTGAGATAATATATAATTTATGTCAAAGTTATAAGAAAAAGGTCATTAAAGATGGAGGAAAAAAATTAATATGTAAAGTATAGGGATACAAATACAAAACATTTAAAACTTAAGGTACACATACTGTATGATCACTCTTAGAGAACATGTTGGAATACGAGGCAAATTTTCATAATTCATTCTTCATTGGGAGGTCGAGGTGGTACCTTGTGAAAGTCGTTACCCCCCCCCCCCCCCCCCTAAAGTACCAATAGGCCATTTTCGTAATGTACCGGTAATCAAATGCAATGCACAAGCACAAGTATTTGTGAAGTGCCTCATTATAAATTAAATTATTCACCTGTTACAAATAATTGTATTTCAATAGTCACAATGCAAACTGCATATATTACGTGTTGTTGGGTAAGGCAAGCTGTAATGTTTGTTCTACCTTGTGACAAATTAGATCTAAATTTACCGGCAGATTTTATTAGAAAAATAAGTTATAATGCAGTTTAGTTTCGTCTTCATATCACCAATGCAACATAAAGTTGTCGGTAAGTTGTGTGGAGTTATTCTAGAATTGTCCTGTATCATTTTCTAGTCATCCTACCGTGCATAGTCCCATATGTTCAAATGGACGTGCTGTTTTGACCGCTGGATTTTGTTGTTGTTGCGCAAAGGTCTAACTTAGTTCACAAGCACTTCAACTGTGCCTCGTAATAAAATGAAAGTATTTCCTAATGCTGAAATGAGACGGGATCTGATCTGGTTTTAACAAAAAGCAAAAAAAGCAAAAAAAAGCAAAAAGAATTTCCTGATTTTTTTGTTGTTGATTTTTTTTGTTTTTTGTTTGTTTTGTTTAAGTCTTAAAAATAGGGGTGCGCCTTAAACACAGGTGCGCCTTATACACAGAAATTTACGGTAAGACTGAATATTCAAAAGAAAAAGGAGGAAGAAAACCAATGATAAGTAAGAAGTGGAAATACCTAAAGCATTCACACAAGATTCATGAATAAAGAATGAGAAGAGAACAAAGGAACATACCAGGTAAGATGGAAGACTTGGTTTGTAGAGGAGATGATTGGAGAAAGGAATTGGTATATGTATAGAGAGAAGGGACTAGAGAAAAAAAAGTAATTGTAACAAATACAAGTATGGAATTAGTCTAATTTTAAATCCTACATTAGTTACACAAGTGCTGAAATATGGAAATAATAAAAACTAACCTTGTGATTCTTGCTGTCAGGAACTGCCGTCCAATGGCTCAGCTTTACATCAATGCAGTGCCTGGGCTAAGGCGTGGTATCGGTATGGCTGCAAAAGAAATGAATCAAATAACTTAATAAAGAATCACATCAAGGATTGAAGTAGAAAGCACAATGCTTATAATACAGGTAAACCTATGAACCTATTTCTAGTTTCAGGATGAAGAAAAAAACATGGTTGCATTTTTTAAAAATTGACAAATTGACAAATTTTCCTTGCAGATTAAAATTTATTGACAGCCCACCAAATAGATAGTTTCCTGTTACTCGAACTTTCCCATATATGAAAGAAGTTACCAGCCCAATAATGAATGGAGTTATTAATATAGTCCAAACCTGATGTTATGAAAGCAAAATATCTACTCAAGACTTGATAGATGCATTACAAATCATCCATTTATCAAACTGATTGAACATTATACAAGGAGAGGTAGAAAAAAAACTTTTCTAGCTCATCAAAAAGTCAGAAGTTGTCACCGCAAATCAAAATTGTGTGAAAAAAAGATGAATATGGGGAACATTAACCCTTCCTTGTAATATCTAAGGGAAATCAACATCACTGAATCAAGAACACTGTATACAGCACAAAAGAAGTGTCATGCACTATGCAAATTAGCAACTCTCACATCACTCTGAATGTCAAATAAAGTCTAGTTATAAAAAGAATGACTTCTTATTATTCTTCGACAAAATTATCTCATCTTTTTGCATCACTGGGGTTATCCCAGATTTCAGAAAAAGGAGTCATCATGATGATGCTACTGTAAAAGTGGAGGGGAGGGAGGGAGGAGGGGGAGGGAGGAGGGGGAGGGAGGAGGAGGGGGAGGAGGAGGAGGAGGAGGAGGGGGAGGAGGGGGAGGAGAGGAGAGGGAGGAGAGGGAGGAGGGGGAGGAGGAGGGGGAGGAGGAGGGGGAGGAGGAAGAGGAGGAAGAGGAGGAGGGGGAGGAGGAGGGGGAGGAGGAGGGGGAGGAGGAGGAGGAGGGGGAGGAGGAGGGGAAGGAGGAGGGGGAGGAGGAGAGGGGGAGGAGGAGAGGAGGGGGAGGAGGGGAGGAAGAGAAGAATGTGAAGAAGGGGGGAAGAGGAGAAAGAGGAAGAGGAGAAGCAGAGAAGGAGAAGAAAGAGAAGGATGAAAAGAAAAAGGAGAAGAAAGAGAAGGGGAAGGAGAAGGAGCTAGGAGAAGGAGAAGAACACAGAGGTAATGAAGGAGAAGAAGGAGAAGAAGGGGAGTTCTTGTATATTTTTATTCTACAAGTACAAATGAAAATTGCACAAGACAAAAGGTGTAATTTTTCAAATAAAACAGAGTGATCTAGACTTATATTTTTGGGGAATGAGAATGTTATTTCTCGCTAGCAGTAGCACAACACTGTCATTATGATTTACCAAGTTACAACATTTTAGACTGAACGGAAGTTCTGAACACTGGTGTTCAGAACGTCCCATGAGATGATCATGACATCTCTATAGACTAGTCTCAGCTCCGTAGATCATGAACAGAGACCAAGAGGGACGACGCCTTGTCAGAGTTATTTTCTTACAATACAAATCTACGCAACCCTCACCTCGCTGTAAAAGTATAAGCAGATGTTGTGCGGCCACTATTCGCTGCAAATCAAATCTTTTAGTTCTATTTCATATTAGCAATATGGTAGTAAAGTAAATTGTAGACAAATTCTATTCAATTTTATAAAACACACACAACTTAAATTAGGTCTAGAGATCTAGATCTAATATTAATTTTAAAAAAACGTTTAAAAAAAACTAAATTAGACCTAGATCTAGATCTAGATCTAAAATTAACTTTTTACCTTAAAATTGTTAAAAAATCTTGAGACTGCCAAATATAAGGTCCAGATTTATTTATTCCAGAATTACTTCTAACTTCTATACACCCTATAGCCTAGGGTCTGTTAAAACAAATATCAAATAGGCCTAGGGCTAGGGGCCTACACTGACTCACCTTTGCTTTGAGCTTTGCGTGATATTACTTGAATGTGAATGTCCAAGTAGCTGTTGCTCATTCAAATCAATCTCTGATTCTGAAAGTCGAAAACACAGATGCTAGATGTAAACTTGAACGTTTACGGCACGTTATCTTCGTCGAATGCGAGTTTTTCTCTACGAAACTAACTCTGGTAGCAGAAACTAGAACTCAGGATAACTGTAAAAGTCGAAATTGTATTCTACGGTGCCATAGTTGGTGATAACATAAGGAAAAACATTGGTCTTGCAGAGCAGAAAATGTAACTCATTGAGAGACTTTTCAATGCAATTTGCCCATATTGCACGTAGCATGCGCTTGCGATTTGCTCGTGACCCGATGACAACAAAAATGGCGGATCATAGGGTTCTTCCACTTGATGTAGGAATGTCACTTACAAATATTATTTTCATGTGATAAATTTGCACTATGATCACCATCAAATTTTCTTCAAGTTAATTATATATTTTTATCAACTACCGAACTTGATGTTTTAATAGGCATGCATCAAATGCTATGGTATATATTAAATGATATTATTATACTTTACCCTAAAGGAAGAATGGACGAATCGATAAACTGACCTATATACCAGAATAGGTCAAAGTATCCCTGGATAGAATTATTCACACAAAGCCGTGTTATTTACAAACAAAAATTGGGGAGGGGCCGCAGCATGGAATGGTGTTGTGTGTTATTTGATACGTTTGGGCACGTGGGCTAAATCAGGCGGGGAAAATTCGACGTGGATGCGTCGGGAGGGGGTGGGAGGGGGCTGGAGGGGTGCTGGTGGTAGTGGTACAATGGTCTCATTCTCATTTATACGCAAAAATAAGACGCTCCCCGTTCAGCCTGCGTTTTTCAACCTGTGAACGAATAAGGAAATAGGCTAAAAACTTTGGAACTCATCTTATCTCTGATATAAGGCTTATATCGTATAGACCTGTTAACTACGTACAGGATTCTATTTAAATACAGATTAATTAAATAATTGATATCGAGGCACTTCAATAATCATAACGTATTTCAGTAAAACAGTAATGTATTTCAATAGGCCATTTACGTAGATGCATATGCTTTTGTGAAGCACCGTATAATACGAAGTATTTCATTCACCTGTTGTGAGTAAGCGTATGTCAATAGTCAGCATTCAAATTGCGTACATTTTTATGCTACGTAGGACAAACATTAATGCTGGCGGCCTTCACTCAACAACACGTGAATATATGTAATTTGCATTCTGACTATTTAAATACAGGTGAATGAAATGACTGATGTCGAGGCAGTTAAATAGAAATTTGTTAACAATACGAAAGTGGCCTATTGATGCAGTTTCTCTCCCGACTTGGACCATCTGCTATGCATAAATGCATCTAGTACGGTAGAATTCACTTTGCATACATTTGTTATTGATACGTTGGCCATGCCTTTGGCAAGATTTTCAGTCGTCAAGAGAAACAATAGGACACTTTCGTAATGTAAACAAATGCATACTGAAGTGCCTCAATACAAATTATTTCATTCACCTGTTACAAATAATTAAATCAATAGTCAGAATGCAATATGCATATATTACGTGTTGTTAGGTGTGGCAAGCCATAAATATTTGTCCTACCTAACAACAATTGATGTATGTAAATCGATATCAGAATATTGAGATACAATTATTTGTTACAGGTGAATGAAATGATTCATATCGAGGCGCTTAAGTATAAATTTGGTTACATTACGAAAGTGGCCTATCATTAAAAAAGCATGAATACATTACGCATGAGTAAACATCTGTTTTTGTCTACTATATAAAAACTGTGAATCAAGACGAGGTAAAAATGTAAAGATCCAAAAAATAATGCGCAGTAAAACAGACGCGAGCTATGTACATTTCAGTTCTACATGCCACGCCCACGTACGCACCCCCAGTTTACTACACAATGTACGCTCGAGCTCGTGCTTTCACGCGTCCCTCGACGAAAAAGTGATCCAGAATCTTCGTTCAAATTGATACAAACTCCTCAGAAAAAGGTTCAACTTTAAGCGTTCGTATCTCTCTTGTAACTGTATTATCAAACTTGTTAATGGCATAATTTGAAAGGCTGTTTATTCCCCTTTGCAATGTTGCCCCATTTTTAATGATTTAATGGAATGTGCAGTACGTACATCTGAATACGGGGCAAAGTGAAAATGAAACGTTGCAAATTGCATCGTTATTGTCAATAGGGAATTCTTCAATTGGTTGGAGGATGGGTTGTGCTTTGAAGGAATAAGCATGCCTTTTAAAACATTTCAATTGAGACTTGGCCTCATATTCAAGTGTGTTTTCTAATGATACACATCCAACATGATTATATTATTATTAACAAGAGAGATATCAGCGCTCAAAACTTGAATTGCAGAACCTGTTTTGAGTAGTATCTATAATGTAGTTGGATCGCAAATCATGAGAGTAGAAGATAAGGGATTTTATTTCATTATTCGTCGCAAATAATTTTGTTCAACCGAAAGTAATTTTGTTTTATACGATATTTATCTTCATGTGGGCGAGCACGCATTGCTATACTTGGTCCACTGGCGGCGACACATTTTCGATCATTGGATCATTATTTACTAGTAGTAGCATAAGATCCCGGGGTCCATTGCAAGATCAATACACAACATATATACAAATATACACAATAAATAAATAATACAAAATTTAAAAATCCTGGATATATTTGAAATACTGTTCATTTTACGATATTTTTTTAAGAGCTGATTTTATCGTGGAATAAAAATGCCTTTTTGAAATCATTGTTTTGCTTTGCCATTTTGATTCTGAAGTTAACAATTCATATGGAAGGGTCTAGAAAGAAAGTTTTTCAGAATCGTCATCTTCAAGGCAAATTAATCCATCTGCAGATAGTTCACTTACCCGGCGATGAAACATAATTTTCTTTCGTCATACTGTACGTCACTTTGGAAAAAGTACAATTATTTGCAATTTAGAATGCATGCATACTAGTTTTGATCTTTAAAAACGAAAGTGACTATGTTCTTATGCGATTTTAGTCAGTATTTCATACTAATATTAGTAATAAGAAACTGCTTTTGCAATGGAAAGGAAAAAATACAATTCTTGTTTTTTTTCAAAGAGGGGAAGAAAAAAAAGGACCCGCACATTTCATGTACAAAATCATGTCTTTAAAGTTTGATAATATGTTTTTAAAGGTGATATCAGGCGCGTACGCAGGGGGAGGGGGGTTAAACCCCCCTTTCGATTTTTTTTTTTTTTTAAGTTAAAAAAAAAAAAAAAAATTAGGCAAATGGCTGACCTAAAAAAGGTGAACCCACCCCCCCTCCAACGGAACAAAATGTCGTCCTCTTACCCCCCCCCCCGCTTATTCAGCAACCCCCCCCCCCCTTGAAAAAATCCTGCGTACGCCACTGGGTGATATACTTCCTCAAAATGAAATATACCGGTATATATTTTTATGTTTTACTTTGTCCCGCTAAAAGACTAAAAGATTAAACATGTTTACGACCCATAATTTCTTGGCCCACTTTATAAAATACTTTCTTAGAATTCATCCTAAGTTTGCACTTTAAGTTGTATTGGGACAAAAGATCCCCCCCCCCCCCCCACATCTCTCTCTCTCTCTCTCTCTCTCTCTCTCTCTCCAAACATTCTCTTTGACCAGGTGTGACAATACTTTTTCAATCTGAACAAGAAAATCGAGAAAGACTGAGAGAGTAAAGTAAGAAGAGGGAAAAGAAAAAGAGGGAAATATCAACAAGATTTTAAATGTAGTCTTGGCAAGACATTCTGTTAAAACCTTGATTTAAGACCAGTATGAGCTATGTCGCAACAGAGGTCTATTGGATACGTCTTAGGACTGTGGATCACATGATTTGTGGCACCAGGCGCGTACGCAGGGGGGGGGGGGGGGGTGGGGTTAAACCCCCCCTTAATTTTTATGTGTATGTTTTGTGTAAGTTTTTTTCCGAAACCCCCCCCCCCTTTTTTTTTAAATAAAAAAATAAATAAATTAAAAAAAATTAAGCCAATGACCGACCTAAAAAAGATGACCTTACCCCCCCCCCCCCTCAACGAACCAAACTGTCAAAAAAATCCTGCGTACGCCACTATGGCACTAATGTCTTATGGGCAGGCAAGACATTCATCTACATTTGCCCAGGTGTTAAAAGGGTACCGGTAGGTGGAATTCCTTGAATGCTGTGTGCACCAAAATCGGTAGCCAACAAGAGCCGGGGTAATATTGGAGCGCCTTAATTGCATGGTGGATATGTGCACTTTAAAATGTCCAGTGTTATGTTATCTTTATTATTATCATCATTATATGAACCTTTGTTTGTTACTAATTCTGTTTAATTTTGTCACTATAGTTACCAACAAATAAACTACAGATATGTAAAACAAACACAATCGCAAAGACTTTCGAAAAATAAAATAACAACAATTACCATCGCCCATATTGAAATAAGTGTGACCATTGTGATGACACATTCCGTAATCAGGAAATGGTTTCTATGGGATCTACAATAGGGTATTGAAATTGCTTAAATTGAATTCTTGATAGTCTTTACAATCATGCTACCATGAACAGAAAAAATGATGCAGAAACGTCCAGAACTCATTGAATAACATTTTATTGTGGGTATAGATACAAGGTACCTCATTAGCTCAAAATCAAGTCAGTAATTGTCATTATTTACCATTCCAACGTGCACGTGTTATTGGTTAATACATAAGCATGAAGTACAACTAAAAGGCATGTTTAATAGCGAAGTACACTTTCTTTGCTGCGTTATTGCAAATTTACAGACAAAAATGCACTGTACATCTTGCTACAGTCGAAAGCAACCAACCATTTGTAAAGCATCCTATGTAATACTATCATTTGTGATGGCATTTAATGTGACAACTCTTAATTCTGCTAACTTTTCTTCGTGAGAAAAACATTTTCTTTCATGTTATCCCACAAATAATACATAAAGATATAATATATATCATGTCTAAATGGAACCACCTAAGAGAAGTAAAGGCAATGGAAAGTGGATAGGAAAATCAAAAGAACATAAAGAGAGCGAAAAACAGAGAAATTTGAAAGAGGAAAAAGGAGCAGTTTGGATTCAAGTAGGCAGGGATATATTAATTGGTCACTTTGAAACGAACACCAAGAAAAACTTCAGTTTCCATACATATAATGCCTTACATGATACTTGCACATTCCCACCTCATTCATTGTGATGTAGGGTTATATATTGAATATTCGGGAACTGGAATATGAACGTTATTGATGTAGTTGTTTTTTTGCCTCATGAAACTTGTTTCATTTGGAAACGAACATTACCTTTTCTTTCACCATTCCTTCCAACATACTAAATTTATTGTTCTTGACAATATGTGTATTTTCATTTAATCGGTCCCTAATATAAACATTTCCAAAAGTTGTAAAGTTATTTCCTTATATGAGAAAGTAATGTCCATTTCAAAATGCACCAAAAGCAAGGCTGCAATGGACAAAAAGATTACCTAATAGAGCAAAGACTTGTTTTGAGGCTTGAATGCCAATAATTAGAGCTCACTCCAAAAATTAACTATACAAGCATTTTCATTTTCAAAAATACAGGTGCAATTTATCTGCTTGGACATTTATGAGGTCTATTTCGATTTATCTGGTGATAAAAAATACATAAAGAATAAATCATACAGCACATGAACAAAAACAACATTGATTTCACTGCCCTGCAAATGTTCCATTCCGCTGAAAAGAAACAAATTTTCTTGCAATAAACTTTAACAAATAAGCTTTTATTAGTACCTAGACTGGCAGGGTTACTGGTAACCATTCAAAATGTATTTAAATTCCATTTTCTAAATCCCAGAATTGTAAGTGATGATGGTGGTGGTTTGTTCGCCAATGCTCATCCTTGCTTTATGAATGTATTAAGTTAACAAACAAAATGAATATTGATGCCTAGACTATTACCCCAGTCACATCAACGAGACACAAGACCAATGATGAACCACAAAAATACTAGATTACCTTTAATGGCCGAGAATTTATGTGATATTTATTCAATTTATTTGATTTGATATTGTAGTCGATTTGCAGTATACACTAGCAGGTCAGAGTAATACATAATATCTACTATAACTAGGATTCACAGAGAAAAAAAGAAAAATTTATTGACATCATACAAAGTACATTGTACATACATAGTATCATGAAATCAAAAGATAAATAATTATATAATGCACAGGTTGATCATGAGTCGTCCAAATTTGGCTAGGTAAAATAATAGAGGCAAGATTCTATCAATCTGAAAAAGAAAATTGACATTCATAACAGAATAAAGCACTATATCATGATTTCTGAATTGCATGAAATGTGATGAAATTCATTGCATGTATATTGGAACATCCATTTAGGCTTTGGCAAGGCACTATACATAGCACACGTGATGATTTTGGTTGGTGAAAATAAAACGGACTATACAAAAAAAAAATCAAAAGAAAACAGCATTTCTTAATATTGATACTTGGCTTCTGAATGCTCAGTAGATCAAGGCACAAAAACAAAATGGCGACCCTGGGTGGTGAGGTTTATTGCTAATACCGTTTGGTGATCAAATCATAACTGCATTTTTTTCTGTCCAGTCCATCATAAAGTTCCACACTATTTTGGTTTTGAAAAAAATATCAGATCAAGTCTCGACTTAAAACTGTTCTTAAATAATTTCTTGCTGCTAGAGAAGTGAAATCTCTTACAATGATCCCTAATGAATAGGGCTGTTTCAAGAAAGACACCGTGATGTCCTGATAAGATCCAGTGCAGATACAGAGTTGGGAAAATGCATAGAACCTGTATGTAAATTGAGAGGCACAACCAAACTTCTTGAGAAATATCACTTGATTTTCATATGCAGTGTGTTTAAATGATACTTGTTTATTTAGCCTCAATTTGACCGATTCTGCCATTAGAAACATTTAATATAAAATACAATGGCATTTTCCAGTAGAGACTTCAATATCCATTAAGGATTAATGCTTAACGCTGTGTCAATTTCCATTACCATGATACCATACAATAACTGTTACAAAAACATTACACAGGCACTTTGATGTATGCAGTTTTTACTGTTTGAAATAATTGCAGTGCTTTTTGCAAATGTCATCAAAATACTGAATTACAAATTGTGTCCAATGCGCTAGCTACATCTAACCTAAAGTTATACAATACAATCAACAATCTAATTATCTAATAACATCTACAATAAAGGCTACCAAAAAATAATCATTTAAATAGAAAATGCATGTATACAGAATAAATGATTACACCAAACAGTACAATTACGATAATTCATAAATATTAGGACACTTTGATGTATATATAATATATGCAAATTAAGGTGAACCGATGTGCTGGGGCTACTACCTTCAAACCATAAATACACCATTTTTGTTCCTTTTGATCCTGGCTATAACTCTTTCTAATACATAAACAATAAAAGCATATTCCCCAACTTGTAAATTTGAAAAGATAACCCTGCACCTCAACTGAATTACTCTAATTTAAGGCAGTCGTCAAAAATCATAGATTTTGTAAAGAATTTAATGAATTATAAACCTAACCTACCTGTTCCGTTTATCAACTAAGTCTACAACTCAAAGACAAATTCACATTGCGTTCAATGTGATCTCCGAAGAGTCCTACATAAGATCAAGCTTAAAGCCAAACCAATGTAGGTGGAACAAAGAATCAAATTGGCACATCGACTGGACATTAAAACAAAGATTCATATGCACATGCAATACTAGACTTTAATAGCATTTCCATTTATTATCTTACACAGTTCATCTTCATGAGCACATTGTTTAACAAAACTTATTTTTCAAAAGGACGCATTCCTTCAAGCCATGTAGGATTTAGCTTTCAAGGACTTCAAGCTATCACTTTTATTCACATTGGGACAAAAGTAAGATTTTTCTAGAAGTACTAGCAAAAGGCTTTAGCTCAACCATAATATTAAATGTACATTGTATTCTGTTGCAAAATAACTGTACACTTGGGAATCATTTCAAATATTCAATTAAATAATCAATGAATATTAATTGGATTTACAATGGATATATAAAAACAGGAGATATAAAGAATACATGATTATTTTTTTCCATGCCATATGTGTAAAATAGGCTTAAGGGAGGCTATTGACCTCCAATCAATTTTCAAAAAATGAACACATATCATTTTAAGAATGTTTAACCTCACAGCCATAATTACAAGGGAATGACTGAAAATGGCATTATTTTTTCTGTTTATTTTTTCTTCTTTCTCTCTTCTCTCGAATCGAAAATGGGTTCCCACGATCTTTAAACACAAATTCTAGCATAAGTTACAGTACATGACGAAGAAGCTGCAGGATTACATGTAGCTTTTCGGCAGAGCGTTTACGGACATTTTCTCTACGACTGACTATGCTGCATTCATGCCACGTTGATGGTGTTGTTCAGACCAAGTTCACCCTCTACGGTGGTCTGAAAGAGAAGGGGATATAAAAATAAGTTAAGTCAAATTTCGTTATGATAGGTAAGAAGAGGGTTCTTTCTCATTATAAAATGGAGTGTACAAATGCAACTCAAAAAAAAATCAATGCAAACTGTCATGGATACACTCTTCTGATAAGTTTCAAATCATTTTTTTTTTTGGGGGGGGGGTTCCACTTTGATAGCAATTCTTGTTTATGCTACAAGCATTTTATAATAACACAATTAAAAGGACAAAATTATGGGGAGAAGGTGAAAACAGAATGAAAGAGAGAAACAGAGACATAAAAAGTGTGAATAATTCAATGAGATAATAAAGACATTATTTTAGCTAAAACTTATTCAAATCAATGGCATGCACATATTATGAATACATAATTATGATAACGTTTTAAGTTTCACAGAAGAATGCAATCACTCAAAATCTTCAGCCTATTCCCCACTCCGTTAAAGCTTCACATATTGCATATAATCAATCAGTTTCAAAGTATACATGTATATTTAACTTATATATATATATATATATATATAGAAAATCAATGATGTACACTACATCATTATCTGATATTGTTTGGTCTGGAATCAAAAGTTATCATTCCTTCAGTGCCTAATACTTCAAATTTCAAGATAGAGACATCTGGAATGTAGAATGTATTAAAATAGTTACCGGTACAAGAAAATTATAAATCAAATCACTCTCTTGACTAATATGTGTGCATCCCTATAATCTGAAGTCTGAAAACAACATACAAACTAAACAAGTGAAACAGACTCTGCATCACAAAAAATATGTAGATTATATAGGTATTCATTAGAATATACCATTAAAATGGAATCAACTGGAACATTCTTTTCAACTTTTTCAGGCATAAAGCAAATCACACACAGGTTTATCTCTACAGGCGGACCTCCACAAAAACTGTTTTCGTTGGCAGATATTTAACAAAAATTACCCAAATATACTGGGGTCTGTCATGATATTGTCTCCCATTATGGAATGATTGTTAAAGGTAAAGACCAGTTATGGTCATGCGATTGCATTGTGAAAGAAACGTGGAATCGATCAGAAAAGGTTGATCATCCAGCATTTAGCATCTGCAAGGTTCTGGAATCATCAAAATGATAATAAATTTGGCCCATTCTTCGTTAAGTTACAAGCACTATAGACAGAAAGATGTATATGGGACTACCCTATATCTCTCACAGACCATGAGAGAAACAAATTTACCAAATATATGAATTAGTAGGCGGTTTCCCGGCAAATTTTTTATCATCATGTATTAGTCAAAACATATTCTTTCACATGATTGGTAATGAGAGCTTCCATTTCATTTTTTGAAATTGGGGCGTTTCCAATACTGGTCTTTACCTTTAAATATTGAGGGTCATTTTACATTTTAGAAGCTTTTTGGGATAAGAGCCCTGTTGGTTTAGAGCCCAGTTTAGAGCCCAGTTTAGAGCCCAGCTAGTGAACTTTCACAATTTTATATTCATGGACCTGATGGACCCAACCAGTAGGAGGTAAAATAGTACAGAGAAAAAGCTGAAGAACATTTAAAAAAGGAAAAATAGAATAAGAGACCAACTTAAAATCAAGATACTAACATGATATGGTACACAATAGGTATCTAAGAAAAAAAAACTATCTAACACAACTAAACACCACAGCACACCTCATGACTAGATAACAATTAGACTTTGCAATTAAGTGCGAAAAGGTACAACAATTAGATACACAAGATGTTAAAATGTACAACACTCTTCAGGATAAAGGTCCTGAATAGCTATACCCTAGGCCTTTCAGTCTGAGAAAAAGCCCAATCAAATTAACATATTCTGCCATTTTGAACCTTTTGATATTGAAATTTATTCTACAAATTATTTGGGGTCTGCATGGTTCATAAGAATGATGATTTCTCTTGTGTGACCTTTAATAGGGAAAGACCAAGGTCTTTAATTATTTTGTGACCCATACATTACGAAGAATGATCACGTAATGCTGATTAGGACAACATCCAAAGTAGTATTTTCCTTTGCATTTGGTCTGATACAAGCTCTAGCTGTCAACTACATCAGGTATATGAAATTCTTTGATGTAGTCTTTAACATATTAAACAACATTTCTTGGACTTGTCAAACAATAAGCAATAAACACAACACAGCAACAACAGATGCTCGGGCAAACAAGTATGGAAAAGCACATCAAACGTGCACAGCGCCCCCTTCTGGCAGGCACCTGCCGAACTTCTCACCTTCTTGGCGTCAACCTTGTCCTCACCGTCGACTACAAACTTGTAGCTGTAGTCTCCTGCAAGGAGGTCCATTTTCACACTGAAGCAGCCATCACTGTAATTGTGTACATTAGGGGATCAATGGGGGTGAAGGGGTTATAAAGTATTCATCAAAGAGTCTTGGAGCAAGACCAAGGGAGGAGATGAGAGAAGCGACTGATGCTGCCTGCATATAGGGAGGGCACTTTGCTCATTTGTCCATTCAATTAATGGACAGAATTTTTAAGATAGCAGGATTCCTTGCAAATTCTTGATAAAAGTTTGTTTTATTTCAAGATTTCTGTAAGAAAACAAAAAGCTGCTACCGGTACTTCTTTTTTTAATAAATGTATGCCATTTATTTAAAAAAAGTGCCACTCCCCCTCGCAGCTAGCATCACCCCTTCTTCTCATCACCAAGTTTGCTGTCATCATCTCATGCTCATTTCTTCCATTTATTCATCAAGTTACCTTCCACCATCACCTCCACCACTGACAATGGGACATGGCAGAAATGTTCTGGAATAAAGAACCCTTCCATGAATAATATATTCTGAATAAATGCAGATGAGCATGAAATGATGTCACAAGCTACCCTTCATCAAACAAACATAAAATCACAGAACTGATCGCATGATGTTACCTGGTTCATACTGGCCTTCCACTCGCCATCTACGATAAACTTGTACGTCCATTCCCCGGGGGCCAGGGACAGCGTTTGTGCAAACGTGCCTTCCTCACTACCTCAATGAATGAGGGTATGAAGTAGTAGTAGTAGGGAATGAAGTAGTAGTAGGAGGAGTAGTAGTAACAGACGAAGTAGTAGTGAGACAGAGTGGGATATTTATAATTAGAGGCAAACAGGGACAAGGGGTTGTTTTTCATATTCAAATTGCATGTCATATTAATGTTAAGAGGATTGGTAGGGGTATTTGGATTTTGGCGATTGGGAGCAATACAAAATGTGAGCAGTTTTGGGAGAGGGTTGTTTTCAAGGAAATGTTATTGCAAAAAGAATGCAAGTTTATGTGATGAACAAAGTAGTTTCCCAAGGCATTTGGATTTGGAAGGCATTTTTGTTTGTTTGTTGTTGTTATTTTTTATGATAGGCATATCAAAGATTTTTTAAGTCGCAGGATGAACAAATTGCATTTATATCATTGACAACAATATTTTTTGTAAAAAAAAAGCATTTATTTGTATAGAAGCATACAAGTTGACCAAAAGAAATCCAACCAAAAGAAATCCAATGCAGTAATTTTAAGCATGATAATAAAATAATGAATGAAGTGGTGAATTATAGCGAATACGAATGGCAACAGTTTTGTTTTCAATGTGAATATGAAAATCAAAAATTAATATTTGTTGAAGAACAAAAGAAGGAGATACAGAAGTATTAAGTGTGATTAGGGAAGTATTAGAAGGAAAGAGGTTACAGATGGTATGAGGAAAGACAAAAATGCAAAAACAGGGAACAAATGAGACACAAAGACACCAATAACATTTCATGGATACACTATTTTAGGGTGAAAGTTACAGAAACATGCAGCATGCATTAATGAATTGTACAAATTAATTTGAAATGATAATAACTCCTTAATAATAAAGCTGTACCAAATATTTCCAATTCTTGCAAATTCATGCAAATTCAATGTTTTTTTAAAAGGAGGGGCGAGTCGTATGTTCCCAATGTACATGCTAACTATGTGAATGAGTGTATGGTGAAAATGAAAATGGATAGGCTCTCATTCGGCATGTGTCTACAGGCTTTCAAAATAGCATTTTTTTTCCTACTTTTATGGGTCTAATGGATTATCTCCAGGTATGTGCTTCTGTAGAATTCACCATAAGCATATTATAACGTCAGCAGTAATGGAGAATCGTACCTGCATTCTATACCACATTCACTGTCCAGAAATCTGATGGACCCAGTAAATGCTGTTTGTAGAAACAGACTCGTCACATTCCAATAAGGGTTACTGTTAAATTTTCATTTTGGGTAGACTATTCTGTTCATTTCAGGGTTACTGTAGAAACATGCTGGTTGCTTGAGCCTTGACTATAATTACCCCCCCCCCCCCCCCCCAAAAAAAAAAAAAAAAAAAAATGATTACCCCTTTGTACCCTAATGGGAAAACTTTCCAGGTAACAGGTTACAGTTACCGGTAGTTATTTAAGGGTAGATGTGCAGGTTTTTTTTGTCCAGGGACATCATTTTTCTAAAAGCGGAGACGTCCAGGGGTACTTTTTCTCAGGGTTAGTTTTCCTGGGGTAATGGTCCCAATATGTAATGGGATGACTGCAGTTACATTAATAGTTAGTGGCAGGCGTGGGATGAAATTTGCACACAGACTTAGAGAAAATACCTACTCTTTATACACTCATGCACATCATATTATACTAAATCAAAATCACATCATCAAACATAACTGTCTTAATCAAATTTTATGTCCAGCATTTCAGTTCCCTGTTCATTATAAAACGGTGACATAAGAGGAAACCGCCTGATAAAAAAAAATACCTTTCTAAATTGGCCATTCCAGACCACAAAAGCAATTGGTTTTAAATGATAGTTTTGTTTGTTGAGAGCCATTATGGCATACACTATGTGTTGATGGATACTTGTTAATGCCCTTTCAGACAATTCATTAATTAAATAATATTTGCAGAATTGACCTCATGGGAATACATACATACAGATTGATATTTATAAAGCACCTGTACATAAACATGCTCAAAGCGCTTTACATTAGTAAATAAAACAGAATAATTATTTTGCTCTCCAAAATATTGTAAAGAAGAAGAGTACTCACACTTGTGTAAGTTGTACCCTTTCTTTCCAGTCACTGAAGCTACCGGTCACAAAGACCTCTTCTCCACCCTCCTCCCAGCGGAATTCAACGGACGTCTTCTTCTCCTCACTGGCTTGGTCTCCTGATGGTCCATCTAGGTGGTCAAGGTGAAGATATTGATAAGTATTAGTGATAAAATCTTGTTATTAGTTTTCAGACTTCTTGGGGATACTTCAGCCACATGTTCGCTCGGTTTTATGAATGACTTTGTTCTAATATTTGAAAAAAACTGATAGAAAAAGATGACCATTGTGTGGGTGAAAGAGTTTATGCTAAACAAACTGTCAGCACCTACAATATCCTGAGCAAATTTCTTTTGATTTCCATAAAATGCATGGGAATTGAAATTCCTGATTGGACATTCACTTTGGTAATTGATTAACTTTTTTTTTCTCAGAAAGAGGGTTACAAATTTCAGGGTTCCATAGAAAAATCATAGAAAAATTCAAAAGTAAAATGAAAATAAACAAGAAATGGGTGGCAGCAGGTATCGTCACGGTGGAGAACAGGTCACCACAAGGTCAAGGTCAAATACATGAATGAAATGAACAGAGATGATGAAGAAGGTCTGTCAAAATCACACAAAATATGGATATGTCCCGGCATCATAATAAACTATCCATTAAAGCCTTTCTGCACTAGTTTAGCCAGGAGGGATTAGACCTCCCAGCATGGTCACTGACAGGTGGTAATCTCATCAAATCAGCTCTCAATTAACATAAGAAAAAGGGGACCATGGCCTGGGGGACCAATGGTCACTGATTAGGAATTGTTTGCCATATAGAGGGCGCAAGTAGCTATAAGTAGTGCAGTTGGGCTTCAAAGATTGTAAATCTTTCAATCCAACTCTCTAGGTCTCCCTCTCCAAGTCTCACTTGTAACTGCTGCTACTGCTGCAACAGAACTCTCATCTGCCTCTTTGGCTTCAGCTGCAGCCTCCTTGCTGGGCTCACTGGGTTCCTCTGGAGCGGGGGTCTCTGCTGGCTGATCAGCCTCAGCCTCAGGGGCGGGGGCTTCACTGGTGGGGGCAGCATCTCCGTTGACCTCTGGCTCGCTGGTGTCCAAGCTCGCTGCTGGCTCTTCTGGAGCAGTCTCATTTTTTGCTGGCTCAGGCTCTGCTGCAGGCTGTAGAGAGGGATAATGGAAATTTTATCAAAGTGAAAGAACAAAATAGTTGTAAAGGAGAATATTGTCACATGATATAACTTATAATATTTATCCCAATTGGTCCATATTTCCATAAAAAGGTAGCTTATTTGCTGTGAAAGGATTGGATCACAAAACAGAATTTTTTCAATTCAAACAAGTTAATGATCTTTTCAATAAATCTAGGACTGGTCTATTTAATATCAATAAGCACAACAAAATAATTAAAACATAAATGGGATGTCAATCTTTCTATTCTATTCCCCTTCATAATTTCTTCTGAAGCTGATAAATGCCTGCCTAGTAAGGCCAATTCTGTTTCCAAATCTAAATGGAAAGTCAACATATTGGAGATACAAAAAACTCAGGTTAATTATCACAAGTCTAAGAATTGATGAAGGATTTTTTCCTCAGAATGCGTAATTTACATGGCATTCTTGGGTAGAGAAGCCTTTAAAACTATCAGAAATAAACAAACAAACAGCAACAAAAATCAAACAAAAACTAACCTCAACTGGTACTACATCTGGTGTTTCTGCTGGTGTTTCTGCTGGTGTTTCTGCTGGTGTTTCAACCGGTGTTTCAGCCGGTGTTTCTACAGGTACTTCTGCTGGTGTTTCTGCTGGTGTTTCAACCGGTGTTTCTGCCGGTGTTTCTGCCGGTGTTTCATCTGGTGTTTCGGCTGGTACTTCTGCTGGTGTTACGGCTGGTGTTTCTACTGGTGTCTGTGGTAAAATCAAACAGTTTGATTATTCTACACTTGCCAAATTCCTTTGAAAGATTATCCAATGATGCTGTATATATATTAAGGTGTCCCAGAGATTACAAGCAAATTTCAATTTCATACAGGAATTTTCCATCACAGTGCTCGCTATTGATCCAATTTTTAATTTCAAGAAAACATAAGCTCCTTTTTGTCAAAAAGCATTTACATATCGGTATGCAATATCAGACTAAGTGCTTTTCAAACCACCTGCAGAAATATTTTTATAAAAATATATATGAATAAGTGCAAAATTAAACTGCAGCTGCCAAAACATGTTTTTTTTAATAATAATTTTTATGTCATATAAATACAAATACAGTACATCCTAAAGTATTGTTGATGATATAAATTTGTAGACGTTATCATCCATTTCTCTTCTACAATAAATATACATTCCTATCAAAATATTAGTTTCATACTAGATACAGGGAAAACACTGCCACACCGTAGATAACTGTAAAATAGAGACACATATTGTAATGCACATAAAAAAAGTGTGCTATCTCTGTGATCTTGTTATTTCATACCACATGAATTACCATATAATGCTAAGTGAATGGTATAAAATATCAGTGATCCCTATTCGTTTTCATGCCTGTATAACAATAGCCATTCAAATCATCATGGAAATTAGTCCATCAAGTGAAAATGTATCATTCACTCCACTGTAAGTATCGCTTTCATAATGTCAAATATTTTCAACTTGTGAGCATTGTAGATGATTGTATCAGAATGGTTTAAGTTTACAGAATTGCATTAACTACAACAATAAATTAAAATAACCAGGTCAGTACTCGGATATTGTTCTTGTTAAGAAACCTTCACATGTGTTCTGCAAACTATAGTCGGCATGGATCCTGGATATATTCCTACATCCCCTTTCACTTTCGCCATGGATTTTACTCACTTCATCTGTTCTATTTCTTCTCTTCCTCCTTATCACTTCTTTGTTGCCCTTTCTTTCTTGCTCTCTCTCCGATTAACCCTAATTCCTATAAATAGTTTAGCCAGGGTTTAATACTATGTGGGGTGAAGAGGGCAAATGATCTTGCATTTCAACACTTGTTCTAATATAGCAGGCTCCCAAGGTTTTCAAAATATCCTTGAAATGACATAGCATATTAAAAAGCTAGTGACTAGTCTTGAAGGTATTGTTTTCCCCTGTCCAATATCCCTCCTCCCTTGCACAGTCATTCCCCCCCCCCCCCTATCCATCCCCCTCCTTCTTCAAGATTCCTTGCAGACTTTATCAGCCTTACACATTCTTTTCACTCCTTTGTGACATGCTACCATAAGTTCTCTCTTTCCCTCAATGTAATCTTGAATTCAAAATGTAGCTAAAAACTAAACCCTGCCCACTACTTTCCCATCTACCTAGAAAAATAAGGGACAATTACTCTCCAGATGACTATATCCCCTTTGGAAAATAGACCAAAGACAATTATCCTTGTGACAACTACCACTAGAACAACTACTCCGAGGACAATCAAAGAGGGTAGTTGTCCCGATTGTTCTTTATTCTTGGAGGGTAGTTTTCAGAGAGGTTAAAGTCCATGGGTAGTCATCCTAACAAAAGAAAATATCATCTTGTCCATACCTCAGCAGGAATCTCTACTGGTGCTTCGGCTGGTGTTTCCACTGGAGCTTCGGCTGGTGTTTCTACCGGCGCTACGGCTGGTGTTTCCACCGGTGCTTCGGCTGGTGTTTCTACGGGTGCTTCAGCTGGAGTTTCTACGGGTGTCTCTGATGGTGTCTCAACCGGCGTCTCTGATGGTACCTCAGTTACTGTGGGTTCTGCTGCAGCTGGTTCCGATGGCTCTTCTGCTTTTGATTCCTAATCGGAAAGAAGAAATTGCATTTATGAATTCTGATGTAGGTTACTGGTAATAGATAATCTACCTCCTGTACTAATGGTATTACCGGTAGATGTTTCTCCTTTGGATAAAGTTTAAAAATGTTTTCAAACAAACCTCAGGAAAAAGCCCAATAAGCTTTTGACCTAGGTTGTCAAGAACATCTTGTCTGTGAAGCATGTGTGGAAATTGAATACAAAATGAAAGTGGTCAAGCAATTCTCTTAAAATTTGGTGCAATAAAGTGCAAAGTCAGTGCAAAATAACTTCTTTCCCTAAACCATAAAAAAGAGAAGCAAACTTGAATTTGACTTTTGATTGATATGATAAATTAACAATGACTATGTCATTGCATAATCAGTATACCTCCACTGAATCTATTTGTGCAGGTGTAGGTGTGGGTTCTTGGGGCGTGTCTGGGGTGTCAGAGGGAACATCCTGGGGAACCTGTTCTGGGGTCTGGTCTTCTGATGGTGTGCTTTCTACCGGCTCTTGCTCTGCCTGGACTGGTTCTGGAGTTGGCTCTTCTACTGGGGTTGGTTCTTCTACTGGGGTTGGTTCTTCTACTGGGGTTGGTTCCTCTGTGGCTTCAGGTGCAGCTTCAGGTGTTGGTTCTGGAGTGGGTTCTGGTGTGGGTTCCTGGGCAGGTTCTTCTACTGGTGCTACTGGTTCTACTACTGGTGCTTCTGGTTCTGGTGTTGGTTCTGGTGTTGTTTCTGGAGTAGGTTCTGGAGTAGGTTCTGGGGTAGGTTCTGGAGTAGGTTCTGCTGCTGCTGCTTCTGGTTCTGGTTCTGGCTGGGATGGTTCCTCAGGGGCAGTTTCAACTAGTGCAGGGGTTTCGGGTGAGGGCTCTGCGGGTGCAATTACAATGGGTGCAATTACAACGGGTGCAGAAGGGGTTTGTTCAGGTTCTGATGGTACCTGCTCTGGTTGGGATGGTTCTGAAGGTGCTTCCTCTTTGACAGGCTCAGGTTCTGCTGGTGAAGGGGCAGGTTCCTCTGCTTGGGTTGATGGTACTGATGGTTCTGGTTCTGTTGATACTGGTTCTGGTGATGCTGCTGCTGCTTCTGCTTCTGCTTTAGGCTCCTCAGGTGCAGGTTCTTCCGATTTCTGTTCAACCTTAAAGGAAACAAAGAAAACAGAAAAGTACATATAAATATATTTATATTCCAGACATTGTGAAATAACACATGCAACAAAATCATCCATTCTATCTTTTCATTTTGTCATAGATGATGTTATGAGGAAAGCAACCAACTAATATTCATACAAATTATGGGCACCATCTGGAACTTTCCTACACTTAGTTAGTTTCTTAATTTCCCTTTTTGGCATATACCAATTATGTACCACATTTTTGTCTTGATCTTGTACTAGCAATTTCGCTTTCTTGTATGAAAAAAAATGATTGTATCATTTCATCTTTCAAAGAACCAATAACCATAACACTTCTACATCTCTTTTCAGAACAACATCAAACTCGATCAAAGCTATTTAGATTTGTCAACTTGTCTCCCATTAGTTTCACAACTCAACACCCATTCTCCAATAGAAAATACTTCAGGAGGTAATAAGGAAAAAGAAATATAGCAGTTTGAAGTTCAGCATATAATAAGTGTCAATACATTTTTGACATTTGCCATAATGTTGATCTCTTTGCTATTTCTCTACCTCTCAATTGAGTATGGCTGAATTATTATAAGTGCAAGTATTTCATTTTGTATTTAGTTTGTTTTCTCATGCATCATCCAATTAGCCTCTCACGTCACAATTTCATACTTCTTCCAGCAGTTGCCATGGTGATAATGAATTTCCTGCATTTATTGGCTTGAGCGCATCAAACCTCCATCACAAGGCAGGTCTGCTATCAGGGTAGAATTACCATTCCAACAGCTAGAATGTCACACTCTTCCTTATTCATGGTGCCTAGCTCACTGCCGCTATTATGCTAATTTCAGATTTCAAGTATACATTAGGCCCATTTACATTGTGGAAAAACCATGAGTGTTTACACTACTGGAAACGCCCATAAAACGTCAGTGTTCGATAATTCCGTCTTTTTTAATGTGAGTTGTGCACATGTGCCACTTGTGGCTGCTCTGCATGCATTAGCATGGACGCGAGGAGAGTTCACTGGTTTATTGAGAGCAAGCATTTACACTGCAAAAACAGGAGGAGTTTCAACAAAAAACACTCCAGAGGTGGGTTTATATTTTAGGGGTTTCGCTTATGTTTATGGGAAGATGCCTAGCAAATTCTGACAAAACTGTGAAATGTGAGAAAAAATGATGTTTTTTTTTTGGTAGTGTAAATGCCCCTATTGTAAGGTGCCTGCAGAAGACATCAGCAGGGTGCTTTCTTATGTAAATTAAACTATAAACAATTTCCTGATATGCTTTTATGCCTGGCATATGTTTTATCCTGTATGTACAGTGGCTTTAAAGATCAAATTATGACAAATTCAGATTTGTAAAAGTGGTTGGGAAAACTTAAAAAGTCACTTTCTATTATTAATACATAACATAATTATGATTTAAGGCCAGACTTGTCCCCTATGACCCTTTGTTCAACTCTCAAGATTTAGATTAGTCAACATAACTAAGAAGGACATATTAAACTAGGAATAATTCCAACATTATAAAAGTTCTAAATTAAACATTCCTTCCTGTAATACAGGGTAGAAGTAGGATTTTGATCACTCTATTTTAAAATAAATGTATTTAGCTTGAAATAAGTACTGTCCGACCTAAACATCTGGAAATGTGTAAAAATGGGATTCTCTAAACTCTAAACTCTAATCTAATCCCTCTAAACAATTATTCTCTAGTATTTCCTTTGCATGTTATTCTGGGAAAACAGGATAGAGCCTTGATAGTTGATAGAGGACATTTTTTTTTACCAAGCAAGGACTGGAAAGCTTCCTACCTGTTAAAGATCCTGACTGAAAGCTTTAAAGTGAATAATAAAAAGCTAAGAAAACTGATACTTTTATTCCTGATTGAGGAATGAAAAGACAGATTTTCAGATTAACTACAAATCAATCACTCATCACAGACAATAATATTCTGAGTAGTAATTTTTTTAATTTAAAAATAAGAATTCATTATTCACTTTTCATCAAATAATCTATTCCAATATTGAAGTTCTATAAATATATATAATTGATCCTAAATATTTTTCTTTCAAGTTTTCATATTAGACACAGAAATTCACCACTGCCTGTCAGTTGCTTTCATGCAGTGTAGTTTCGTTCAATAAAAGTAACTTCATTTATTGTTTTTTAAGTAATCTTTGAACAATTGATATATCATATATTTCTTTAAAGCCTTCAACTCTTTTATTTTGAAAACTTACCACTGCTGCTGCTGCTGCTGGAGGTTCTACTGCAGGAGATTCCTCTTTGGTTGATGTCTCTTCAGCTGGCTTCACTTCAGCTGGTTCCTAGATAAACAAACAAATAAACAATCAATAATCGGAAGTCAGTTGGAAAATCTGACAACTAGTTTTTACCCCCATCAGTAAATTTTAAAGTGCAATTTAAAAATGTTAAGTTCTGCCACCAAATTTGAAAATATGGCAATCAGTTTTTATCCTTGTTAGAAATGTTAACATCTAAAATATTTGTCTGATAAGAAAATCGCTAGTTGACTAGTTGGCAAAGTTGGAGCAACATCCCCCATCCCTATTCCCCCATTCAAAATGTGTCAAGAGAAAAAAACACTATACAAAAAAATATATACAAATAACATGCAGAATAATTGCATAGTTCATCAGTTTGAATAAATTTCACAGAAAGCGGGATATCCTTCTAACTTCTAAGTAATAACACGGATCTATATTGGAAAAAAATTGAAAGTGAAAATGAAACTACTTTGGCTTCTGACCACTTAACCACACTACATGAATTTCAAATAAAAAGCAACAGAAGGTGTGTAGCACAGATACACTCTACTGGTACAATAAAAACCGTGAGATCAAGTCATGGTTATAAATACGTACAATGTATGTACACTGTAGCATGTCCTCATCAGCTCAAGTTTGCCAAATAACCTGCTATTTTCAGACTCGGATATTATCCTGAAGCTTGAAATTGCGTCTTCACCAGACCGATACGCTCATTACAAACTAGCTTGGATGGGCGCAAATTAGCCTGCTATTTCCCAAATAGCAGGATATTTGGAAACAAGACCCAAGATTTCATAGGATATTTTCTCGACCAAATGTCCCGCTAAATGCAACTGTGGGCTGATGACAACGCAAGCGATCGGGATAGTTTAAATATCTGGTTATTTGGCAAACGTGAGCCAATGAAAACAGGCCTAAAGAGCATGTCCTCAAGTCAGAGTAGTATAGTGACAAGTGGCAACATCCATCCGTCCCTCAAGAGCAGCACATTTCATTAAATCATATATAATAAATATTACTGAAAAGTATTCTAACCCTAAGGGTCACAACTTTTCGAATCTTATCATTTCACAGTTTATCAAATATTTATGTTGCACTCAAGTACAGAGTTGGCACGCACTTGTGAAAATATGTTATAAAGGGCCTACAGCACACTTTCCCAATCAGAGATTGGAGTGCTTTGTATGGATGCACTGGCAATATAGAAATGCTATGATGCATGGAAAGTTATGTTTTTGTGACAACTCTTCTACTATAAGACATGTACTATTCACTTATTGTATGAATACCAGAAAACAATATCAAAAGGGAGGATCAGGGAATGTTTTCCAATAAAAAAAACTCCAACTAATTTTTTTTAATCAGGGTCAGCTTGCCATGTGAACACTGCCTGGTATGGGGATGTTTCATCTCACTACACTTCAGTCCAAATCACATTACTTTTTATGATGTTTATTTGCGAGACATGTATCCTGCATGTACTCCTGTTTCGCTATAAGGTTGTCAAATGTGTGTTTTTCAAATAAGAAGTCTTCATACAGTTTGTCCTCTTCTAAATGTGAAAGGGCTGTATGTGTAATGGCTGCATGCTGCCACAACATTGTGAAACTGAAATTACAATCAGAATTCCTGAGGTTAACCATTATACCTACAAATCATGATAGTACAAAAAGAATCTCAGAATGCATTCTGCATTATGAAAGAGAAGAAATATAGTCCGCATTATATATGTTGCTGATGCCATTATCATAAATTAGCAATTCAATGGCTCTTCCTTGCAAACAAAAATTGAAAATGCATTTAAAATTGTCTTTTATGTATTGGGAGAAACTTATCATTTGAAGTGAGATCAATAGACTATGTTTCTTTAGTGAAACAGAATTTGTTATCTTTTTCATTTCTAAATCCGCAAAGAGCTATCACATTATTTAAAACTGAATAAGCAAAGTTGAACTACAATTAGGAACACATCTGTTCTCAAATCTTTGGGTCAAACTTACAAATGTTTACTCCTCCAAAATTATCTCCAGCTGAAACCTAGTCTAATTAGAAGCAAATATCTCACTGAGCAGATATTCTGCATATCAGCATTAAGAAATAGTGTTGTCTTTAACTATAACTGAAAAACTTAATTCAATTAGGATGCGAGTAATGCTAAGAACAAAGAAATCTGGAAACCGAGTCTGACTGTAAACAGCCTTGGGTGCAAATTATGCTCGCATACAATCACTGTTTTATCTAATTTGTTACACTCATGCAGAACCACACATGCAGTAAAGTTGGCAGTTCCCCTGCCATCTCCGTCATTTTAGCCCATCCATCTACGCAGCAGCTTGGCTTGTCTATGGACTGAAGCTGAAGAGAGCAAATTAAAGGTTTACAACTCTCAAGCTGCTTTCTCCATATAAGGACGCCACCGGGGCTTAATGCTCAAGACTGGTGGCCTGTTTTTCCTTCTTACTTGCGATGTTATCTCTGCACCTTCTGTGCAGGAGAAAGGGTTGCCAGACACACAGCCAGCGCAAGGCGGCGGCAACAACACAAACCTCATGCATGTGTGTCAGACAAAAGCTGGCTTGTCTGAGCATGGATGAGGTTGGTTGTCGGGTGTAGTAAGAGTTCATCTGATTAGGGTTAGGTTGTGGCAAAGAGCCAGGCAGATTGTTCTACCAGCTGCCACATTAAAGTGAAACTTTCCTCTCCTCCTGCCTGCCAGGAGAGCTAGGATCGCTCGAGAGCCTTCTTGCTCAAGAGGATTGGACATGGCGTGTACGTCAGAGACGACAACTGGTCACGATGACATATCTTGGAATATGACTGACGCACTTTGGCTTAAATTCATGTCTCTTTCACAAGAGATGAATTTACTATGACACAAAAAAGTGCACATTTATGTTGGCAAATACATCACAATAAGGGTGAAATAAAGAGGTTAAAGGGCTAAGTCAAACAAAAGTTGTATCCTGTTGTTTGAAGATACTTCTTTTCCTTGCCAAGAATGGATGTAGGCCCCTAATGAGAAAGAATGATTTGGGGTACATATTACATTTTCTTTATTAAGCAATGCTAGATACATACAAACCATTTCTGTTCACAAAGCGCATCTCTAAAAATGTTAATTGGTACTAACATCCCAAATCCCAGTCTAATATCTATGAAATTTTGTGAAATAATCACCCCAAAATCTTCCAACATAAAAAAAACAGGATCAAATTATGACGTATTAATATCCCAAAATCCCGCTCAAGAAAGGCTCCCTCTTTTGTTCATGGGAAACAAGATGTTACATTGAAAAACAAAATCACACAACAAATTATCAAAAATGTTGTTCAAGTGAACATACTCAAAGCAAAATAACATTCAGGTACACATCGCATGTCTGAACAGTTCTATTAGCATCATGCCATCCAAGACTCATGAAAATTTAGATACCAAAATAATTGAAGTGTGTGTAAATGTTTTAGAGAGATGTCTCACGATATAAGAGTACTGGGAGCACTTCTGCCGAAATGTCGTCTTTCACCCCATATCTCTCGCATCACTGGTAGTTGCTAGGCAACCAAGGAGTCGGGAGGAGAGGCTGTGAATAGATTTCATATCTTAGTGAAATAAGCACTCCTTGAATGCCAAACATTCCAACCTATAATATCTCTCTGTTGTGTCACTTCCACATAGTCACAAGACCAATTATTGGGCCTCCTTCACACAAGCATTTGTAAACCCGTCTCAAAACTGGCAGCAGCAAGGTAAATACCTCTTTTGTGTGTGAAAGGGGGTTAAAACAATAGCAATATGCAGCAATGGCTTCTGTGCATACCATGTGCATTATATCATACAAAAATGCAAAATATGCTAAACTCTTGTATTTTTTTCTTGTTTGGGGGAGAGGGAAGGGGGAGGGGGAGTGGGGGTTGCATTGTATCTCGTCATATGTGAATGAGGCTTTTCCCTTCCAAATGGCTTTATTTGTCAGAGAATACAACTGCCAGACCCCTGCTGTGGAAATTGTTGTGAGTTCATGCTGTGAGCTCCCTATGCGTCCTTACCAGAGGCTATAGAACGATCAGCGTTTGACACGCTTTCTACTGCTAGGAAGAATGGGTTAATTTGTACCAATAATGTCTAGATTACCTTTCATTTTGCTGGACAACATTTTATTGTATGTGACAAAAAGTGTTTTGTGTACTCATACTGAATTGCGGTAAATCAAATATGCAACATAAATACTTAAAGGTAATACAAAGTTTTGGTATGGGGTCATGAATTTGGTTCAAATGAACATATTGGAAGCATATATGTGATCCTACAATATTCAGTGATCGTTGTCGCGGTCGAAATCGACTCTAAAGTTATGAAATTGTAAATAATAAACACTTTATGTTGAATAGCTCCCTCTCAAGGTCAAGATATTAATTAAGCTATAAGACAATGTTTATTGACTAAAATCGACCGATTATGGCACAGTCACACGGCCACTTACGGTAGCTGCGGATGCTTACGGATAAAAGTCCGTAAGCATCCGCAAGGATCCGTATCATCCGTAAGCATCCGTATCCATCCGTAATTCAATCCGCAGGATCCGCAGACATACGCAGATCCGCAGCGGAATTTTGAAAATCTCAAAATTTTGCTGCGGATGAAATATACGTAAGCATCCGCAGAATATACGTTATCCATACGTAAAATACGTTATCCAAATATACGCAGGCATCCGCAGGTCCGTAACATGGCCGTGTGACTGTAGCATTAGCTATTCCCGTTCGGAAATTATATACCACAACTACATATTCTGAGATTTTCATGGTCGCAGCTACTATTGTACGGCCGTAGGAGCTTTTTGAAATTCATCAAAATTTACCGGGAGCACCGGTAAATCTTTACATTAAATTTTTCTCGAAAGCAGAAGTGTTTTAGGGGCTAAAATTTCTAGTGCTTTTAATACATCCACAGGGGCATCCAAATATATCAAAATTGAAAAAAATCACTATCCACCCATTTTTCAAAATTTCCCAAAACTTTGTAATACCTTTAAGAGATTTATTTGAATGGGTGCCAATGCCACATTCTTTTGATTCCTACCTACATTATGTACCAGGCCTATTTGTATAAATATATATGTTATTACAAAATAAGTTTATATTGATTTAGAACAGACAAATATGGAAGAGAAATTATAATCTGAACCACTGCATTATTTCCTCATATCTTCATATTTATTTCCTGTTGATTCTACGTGTAGTTTCACTTTTGCCAATGTTTATCAATAGTAAGTGGTACAGGAAGTATTACAAGATACACAGCTACAAATCACAAATGACAATGTTTGTTTTATTTGAAGAAACTGTTTGTGACAAGGTCTAAAATGGGATATTGATTAGGCGTACCAATTAATCATAATATCGTGCCTGGTTCAGAAAATGTGGAACAAATATTTTTGAAGTGCTAAAAGATTGATTTTTCTTTTCAGTATATATGAGAGAGACTGTTCATCTGACAGTACATCTGACCTCACGTTTATAAATACCGGTAGTGATACAGTTTCACACTGTCCCAGACACAGATGAAGTGTGAAATATCTAGGGATTCTTGGTAAAAAAAGTACATGTACACATCACAGTGATGGGAAAAGGAAATGGGTGATTGTTGAATACCGTTCAAACTTCATTGCCATTCCAAATGTGGTAGGAAAGAAGATAATTTTTCCTTTAATATCTATATTTCATTTTCTATGATAGAGATTGAGTGAGATTGAGAGAAAATGAGAGAAGGTCAAAACTTAGGACGAATACATGTACTATTGCAAGATATTCTGTGAAATAAATGTACTATATCGCCGAACTAATCTTGTTTTCATTCTCTGGTGCTCCCTGCTTCCTGGACAATGTGATGGTACACTCAATAGACCTATAAGACAAGGAATAGGATATACCATAACTTTAAAACAGATTTCTTCATTAATACTAATAGATATCTTGAATTTATCAACACACCGATGACATACAATGGTAATCAATAAATGGGTAATTAGAGGAATGCTAAATGACCCTTTCCATTCTTTTGTTTTCTCTATCACTCTGAACAGAGTCAGACTGGCTGACAGTCAGTATTTTCCCTCTTACAGGGGTTTACTGAATTTCCTTCTCCCAGCCAAGGGAACGGGCTGGGCAGAATCAGCGGGGAAAGAAGACCCTGTTGAGCTTGACTTACGATGACACTCTCTTAATGTCCATAAAGTCCATTGATGATGAAGATGATATTTTGTGATCATAATAATGTAATATTAAGAGTGATGACAGTTAAATTGATCAAAAATAGTAGTGGTGTCATCAACTTTAATATTTCAATAACTCAGCTCATCATAAGAAATTTCATGAGAGAAGAGAGATTCATGTGCAATAATGAAAGCTGGCATTGCAAACTCATGTCAACCTCATTACAATGTAGGAGAACGACAACAGTCGTGATGAAGCAAGGCTGTTCTCAAATTCTTCTCCAACACCGTCATGATGACTCACATGACTTTCTCGCTAATGGAAGAATGAATGGGAGCATGGTCATCGACTCATCATGCGGGGAAAAACATCCTCCATGTGCGGCGGTGGAGTATGCTGACTGGTCAGATGACCCAGAGTGCTTTTCGCATGTCTCAGCATCTAACTCATTCACCACATCGATACATTAATATTTGGGGAGAACGCAATGTTGCTTTAATGACATCCAATGCTGCTAAGGCAAATTTCCAGGGAGTCGAGCGGAAATGAGTGATTGCTCCGTGAGTCAACCCAGTTCCAACCCAGACGATATCAATGTTAAGACCTCAGAGTTCAACATTACTTTATAATCCTTACTTAGGGCTCTGACGCAACAAAGTATTAGCTGTATGACCATATTAGCCTCACGAGGCTCATGCCTATGTAATTACAGATTACTTCACTACATGAATGCTATTTCTAAGTTTGGTATCTACGTGCGATTCCGCACGCCTTTCCTACGCGATAGGGATGACAGGAATTAAAAGTTGGCTTTGGAGAATCTTGTGTCCTGCCACAAATTACATCCTGTATTCCTGCATAGACTGATTAGAAACTTGTCAAACATCATCACCTCCTACACTACAATTCATACATCGTCTGCTCCCGCAGCCAGCGTGGCTTTAAAGGGAGATGGCAGTCAGTTTCCATGTACAGTACCGTAGGTCATAATTAGCTGACACCAGACTTGGTGGAAATACAATTTACGGGCGAGCAAGTCTCGCACACAGCAAACCCGTGGTCCCATCAAGAAATTTCCCGTAGTCTCTCGGAGAGTCTTTGGGTAAGGGAAATATATGATAATGACTTTACCTTGTAAGGCAATTGATGGAAAATGAAAAGCATTTTGGGGGCACAAAACTGAAGGCTAATCCTGGTGATTGACAACACCCGTTATTGAGTAAACACCCAAATGGTGTCAAAATTTCCATGAGAGCCCACTACCATGCATCTTTAACTCACTTCAACCTATACTTAACACCCGTTTGGCTCTCATGAACATCATCATTTAAATGAAAAAATGCATAGAAAATTACCCTTTGTATCTTATGAACAGACATCTGTCCTGTTCTACCAATGGTGGTGATATCAGAGAAGGAGGAGGAAGTTTATTCTTAATTTTGGGAGCAGCAGACTAAAGGGGGATAAACCCATATTTGTGGGCAAGTCCAATGTATTTTGCCCCTTATGTTACAGACTACATAAATGATTATGATTTTATTAAATGTCTGTTATTAGATTCTTGGTAATGTAAGGGATAAAAAATGACTGAATACTGGAAATCAAGAAACTTCTGTGGCATGAATCTTATGTTCACCGCAAAATTTCAAATTTCAAAAATTCAAAAAAGTGTAGTTTGTAAGCAAAACTTAGGGAACTGAACCACTCATAAAATTCAAGAATATGTTATGCTTATGAAAGTTTCTGGTTTTATGCAAACATGGACTTGCACTGTCATCTACACATTTTTTTAAAACTCACCTGGGCTGGTTTGTCGTCTTGGCTGGCTGCTTCCGGGGCTGCTGCGTTAGACTCACCCCCAGCTTCTTGTGGGGCAGGGCTAGCCGCTGCTGCTGCTGCTGCCGCTGGCTCAGCTGGGCTCTCTCCCGGTTTACTTTCTTCTCCAACCTTGGTTTGGACTTCTTCTGCCTTTCCACCCTACAAAAATAGCAATAAAAAGGATGGAAAATATATGAAATTGCATAGTAAAGTTGAAAAAAATAAACATACAAAATCAAACAAACATTGATACTTTGAGGTTTAAGGGTACAAGGATGTGAGAGCTCTTAATAGTCAAGAGGTTGATATTTCAGATCGCTGCCCAGTGCTTAATCTTGAGTATGCCCTTGGGGAAGGCATTTCATCTACAGTTGTGGGTTAAATATGTAAAATATTTTGATATTGCATCTAATAAGTACAATGTACCTATTTTGTGAAGAAATTCTGAAGTTAGGGTCTTGCATATCAGTTCAGAGATTTATTTCAAACTTCGTCACATCTCTAATCAGGTGATGATGGTAGTCCCATCCAGGAATACAAACCCTCACGCAATTTACGGTCATCTTCACAGTTAAACCTCGTATCTACTTCTGTGTCAACTCTTTCTTATGGTAATCGCTCTTTTTGCAAAGCTTCTGCTGAACTTTGGAACAGACTACCTTTAAATGTCAAAAACTGTCAAACTGTTAACCTATTCAAAACTAGTCTTAAGACACATTTATTCAAAATTGCGTTCGATAATTAATCAACTCTGTTCACTTTGATGTGTATTCCATATGTATTGTAATTTGTGGGTTTATTTGCTCTTTTTAGTTTTGTTTAATATGTAATTGTATATCAGTCTATTTTGTGTGTTATAGTACTTAGAGACTTCAGTGGTAAGCGCTTTAAAAGTAACGTTTTTATTATTATTATTATCTACAGGTTAAAATCATATTCAGATAATTGATTGTGAGTTTCCCTTATGTTTTATCTTTAAGATACTAGGATTGATTATAACAAACTTTTTTTATGAAACCAGTTTTATACCAACCAGTTGACCTTTGTATTTATTTATCGACTATTTCAGACCATACATGAAGGATTCAGGAAGAGGTAAACGGAAAATGTTATATATTGACTGTGGCATTTATCATCCCTCTTCCTACTCCTTTCAAAGATCAAATATCAAACTTTATGAGGCACAGCCAACATAATTCATATCTGTATATATACACATCTAATAGTTGTAAGAATGATATCAATCATAATGATATTCATTACTCACTGGAGTAACCCCATCCTTTAAAAAAAAAAAGGCCTAAAACCAAAGACCAATTTATCCAATCATTCACAATCGTGGCTCTGTTGAAAAACATAGTCTGTTTACTATAAGAAGTAGAAAGTCTTGAGTCCACAGTTTTACTTTGGAAAGTCGTCCAGAATGTTGAATATAATTTGAATAAATAGTCTCAGAAGCAGAAAGACTTAAGTCCATATATTACTGAAGTTAAAAGGCATTCAGGAATCAGGATTCTAATTTTAATATAATACATAATCTCAGAATTAGAAAGACTCAAGTCCAATTACTTCATTGTAAAGTTATTCAGGATACCGGTTCTATTTCACACAGAATAGTGAATGAAATACATAATCTGCATAAGGAGCATGAAGAGTCAAGTCCACAGATCACATTGTGCAATCACAGATCACTATCTGAAATCATTATAAAAGCATCATCATGGGGTCATCAAATAACACATAAAAGTCTGCTGGCTTGCAATTAAGACTGACATGGGGCTACTAGAAAGGAGAACAGCATCTCATGTAACTGAAACCTATTAATACCAGCAATTTAGCAATAAGCTATCCCACCACTGCTACTGATTGACACGCTGTGAGGATAGGGTTTCACATCCACAGTCTATTCTCCTTCAATGAATACCCAATCTGAAGATATTTATATAGCCTAGGCCTATGAATGAGGTGTAGCAAGTGACGAGGTAAGACATTAATGGGCAGTGTCATGTGTTGTAATCAAAGTAATATAGCTCTGACACACACTTATCAAGAAGGTAATGATGTGATGCAAATTGGTTTATAATTTGACTCGACTTCCAGGTTATGAATAGGCCTATATGTAGTTCGTTGAAGCTTCCACACTATCTCTTTTCACAGATGGTTCAGAATGAAAATGTTAGGGTCTGTGGGAGTAGGGTCCCTGTTGAAATTTGATTAGGTATTTTTTTTTTTGGGGGGGAGGGGCTACAAATATGTATAAGCCCCATGCCTGTTAGTGTCATCCTCTGCTAACATGAAGTAATATATCTTAGCAAGTGAGGCTAGTTTTGTACCGACTTCTAGTTTCTATCAGTAAATAACTATAACCTTGATTGATCAATGGAACATATCTGACAGCCCCTCCCTCCCCTCTTAATAAAACGGTCAAATACAGCATAACATCAGCTGCCCCCGCAATAAGGCCATAAGATTTTCTCTGGGAGAGAAAACGGCTTATTTTTGGCAGCAAACTATATGAATGAGCCCTTTGAGGGTTAACAATAACATCACATTGCTGACTCCAGTTGCATAATCAAATTGAGAATGTCCGTCCTTCAAAAATACAATTGTTAGTTATCTTTGAATGTAGGTCAGGTTTTCTATATATCTTGAATTCTATTTAAAGGTCTAGGAGGTTCTACATGCTTCCACCAAATGTAAAAGATAATGGTTCCAAGTGATTATCGGAAAATCCTGTTTCCTTTTCCTCTTCCATGCAGGTGGCTGGCCTTCATGGCCTACAATGAAAAAGTAATTATAGGCTCTATAATCTTGTCGATAAGGGAGAGGAAGCCTTCAGTACCGTTTAACCAAGAACACTGGCCACATGAAACTTTTTGCGGTTATTAATAAGGTTAAACAGCCCAAACACTATTCAGTATGAAATTCAATTCATTTGTTTATTATTTCTCAATCAAAGAGAGAAAAAAAACTTCATCATAGGAACAAGTGCTTTACATTTCCATATTTAATCAGATTGAAAAAGCTTTTTGAACTCACACTGAACCAACTACATTACTACATCCATCTCTCCTTATGCCATCAGATATATATTCAGATCGACTACGGTTGGAACATGGAGCACATGATTCCAATCTATCTCAGTCACTTTCAGGACTCTTCCACTCAAGATCAGATGTGAGATGAACTTGGTGGAAGGGCCACTTCAATCAAAGTCAAACACACGCAGGTTTATCATTATACTTGGCCCTATTCACACTTGATGCAGAGTACTTGCCTTACAAACTTCCGCAGGAAATAATAATGTGTAAATCGGTGGCAAGAGGAAAGTTTGAAGGGGTATTAAACATAGCCACATGTAGCAATGGCCTAACATTAGCCCACTATGTTGTGTGTTGTAAAATACTGAAATATGAAATGAGTAAAGATTATCTCATTTCATTATCATCATACTGAGCCCTGTTTACAGACTTATGATCATGTTTTTACATAAATCCTTCTCTCTTTTCTAAGGGGGGGGGGGAGGGGGAGGGAGAGGTAGGGGGTAGGGGGGAAAGAGGAGAGGGGGGTTAAGGTTTTCTGTCTCAGTTCTAAATGGGGCGCTACACTGTACGTTGATAGCCACCATGGATCATACACTGATCTCCGAGTAATGAGCTGTCTCATCCGTTCATTCTTACAAGACTGTTTCTGGTCATTAGGCCAGTTTAACTCTAAGATTCCACGACCTGGGTAGTCACACCCATCAAAATGTGATGACAGCAGTGGTCAAGTAAAATAGAGACCCTATGGCATTTGGCAATTAGTTGCAATAAGTAGTGTTTTCTGTCATTATTGTAGATGTTCAATTCCCCATAATGAGGTTCATCCAAAGTGACTACCGAGATCTGTTCATATTAAATGGCTGTCTTAAATTCCACTACCTGGACTTTCACACATATCATAATATTAGGGTAGTAGTGACTGACAAATGAGGAATATAAATATGAAATTGAAGATATTCAATCCCAACACTCTTTATACTTGCTTTTTAAGTTTGTGTCATCGTGTTACAACAAGATTTCTTATTCATGCCTATGAACATCAAAGTCCCTTCATCAATATCAGAATTCTTCAGGCTTCCGTTAACTGACATTTAGGTTTCTATAGTGAGTATGTGTTTCAAAATGTAAGACATTTTGTAACTCCATGAGGTACATGTAACTTGTATGAAATATGCATGGATCACATGTGGCTTACCGTACTATGTTGAGATCCAGGAGTAATGTAAACATACCAAATCATTATATTATCTGACTTTCTAATTTCTACCAGTCAAGTGTACCGGGGCACAAATAATTTTTTGAGAGAAAGTGAGAAGGGTATTAACCCTGTGTGAAATAGTATGACTTTAATAATTAATGCCCATATGGCTCTCAACAGATGATCTTTAGCTGCACTCATGTGTAAGTCTCAAGCCAAGATTCCATCCTCTCCATCAACTTCATCCACAAAAGATCAGAGTTCATTGACACCGTGGGTAGCTGTCATTAACTGGTGAGGGGTCTAGACTTGATGAGCACAAGTCACAGATACTATTCAAGTTCACCTATACATGTGCATGTATGTCCTCTCTCTCTCTCTCTCTCTCTCTCTCTCTCTCTCTCTCTCTCTCTCTCTCTCTCTCTCGAACTCTCTATCTTCTGTCTTACTCTCCCCTCCCCCTTCTTTTTCTCTCTCCCCTCCCCCTTCCCTTTCTCTCCCCTCCCCCTTCCCTTTCTCTCACTCCCCTCTCCCTCCCGCTCTATTTTTCAGCTTTTATCTCTATCATGATATCTACCCCTCCCCCTTGTCTTTTTTTTTCTCTCTCTCTCTCTCTCTCCTCCATAAATATATCCATATCACTTATCTCTCTTAACTCTGCTCTTTTTCTTCTTAAAAACAAAACGTTTGTCTATCCTTTCTCCCTCCCCCCCCCTGCCTCCCCCTCCCCCCTCTCTCTCTCTCTCTCTCTCTCTCTCTCTCTCTCTCTCTCTCTCTCTCTCTCTTTCCAGTTTAGATCATTCTGTAATAGTCATCAACCACAGATGTAGACCTAGTGCCATATCATCAGTTTTTACAATTGAGAGACAGCAATCAATACTTCCTCATAATCCCAATTAAATCCATTATGTATTATG